ACCAGTATTTCTTGTTTAAACACGCTAGCCACTTAGCAGAACCACTTGTGTGAACAGGCATAGATTAACGTGAAGCAGGGCCCTGTTACCTTGTAACTTATAGAGCTATAATTTAACAGGCCTATTATCGTGAAGGTAATTCTGACGGGGCTGAAATATTATACTTGCTAAAAATATGCATTTAGCACTCACTGCCGTGGTCATCCGGACTGAAGACACAGACAGCCAGGGACCCCTGCGATTCCAGGCCTCTAGGGGGAGAGCTATCTTTAGGCCGCGCAGTTGGATGTTGACAATTGATTTTATAAATACCGGAGTGAGACAGTCTTTCTGATGGCATGGAAAGCTCCCCATGTTGTCTCATCAATTCCCTTTTTACTTCTCCAAAACTCTTCTTGCACTGGATTCTAGGGGACCCCTTTCCAGGTCCCAGAAACAGAACCATCATTCGGGCTGGCAACCTCCACCTTCCTGGCCTTGTGTGCATGCGTGAACCCATCTCTAGAACCGAACTTCCCTCAGTCAAGCTGGGCATGTTCATCATGCGAGCAGCTCTGGACTGGAGGCGGGGACACAGGCGCCCACGGCTGCCTCCTAAGCTGGGACCACATCCACATCCCAGCCTTACTGACTGACCACAAGCCCCTTCCACTGAAGAGCTGAAGCGGCAGTACATGGCAGTACGGTTCTTTTTCTAGTTTTCATTTCAGCTAATTTATATGGAAAAGTGATACAAACTTGTAATTTGCATGCCATGGAATGCACCAAAGAGCACACACACACGCGCACACACACACACAAATCATTTATATGAACTAACATGCTGGCTTCCACCCAACAGCACCCGGGCACTTCCCTGAAAGAACAAACACTTCTACAGATACCAGGGGCTCGCTTTCTTAAAGAGAAATTAACGCATCAGGAGCAAATAAATATTTATCTGGAATTCACTAGCGTCAATGCACTCAGCCTAGTGTTATGTCACCATAATTAGGCACGAGAAAAAGGGAGCAGTCAATCCCTCCCCTGGGTCTCCAAATCGCAGGGCGAGTGTGCGCAGACTGGATAAACATAGCCCAGCCCCACTTACACTGAAGGACTGGAAGAAAGCTCAAAAATGTGGGTGTTCATCTTTCCCCCCTAAATTCATGTCTGGAATCTAGTCCACTTCTTCTTAGCATATTTAGAATTAAAATATATCCAATCATGATGTCAGCAGTTAGCAGTTTGGGACGGATGTTAATCAGAAATTTCAAATAATCTCATCTCAAATGCTAGGCATCCCACGACAACACTTGGCTATTTCTTTGATGCACAGTTTCATGTCTCAAACACAAATAAACCACGAAAATGCTGTCAGAATTGCGTATCCACACATCTCCAAATACAAAGACTCAAGCTATAAAATCAGAATTTTCCAAGAAAACCTTAAAATAAAAACCAGGTTGTGCCCTGAAGTGCCGCCAGTCTTTCCCAGAAATACTGCAGATGCTGCTGCCCTCTAGTGTCCAAAGTCAAAAGTAGACGCAAGTAGGCCAACAGCAGAAAAACAAGCTTTGCAAGAAGTCAACTACTCCCTGTTGCCTGGGATCTGTGTTACCGGTGAATTAAGATCTGATGGAACTGCAGTGAGGCTAAGCTCGCAGACACACTGCAAAGAGGCAGGTGCAGCAAATGACATCAGATCACATCTGCAAATGCACCATTTAACCCAGACTGGGGGGAAACTGGACAAAGTATGGAAGCAGTTGGAACCTGGAGACTCTAAAAGACACACCCAGGACCACCAACAGGACCCATTAAAGGAGTAAAGAAAAGCAGGCACGGGCTGATGTGGCGTTTTGGCACAGTGGGCTAAGTACCTTCAAAGCCAACATCCTATAGCAGCACCAGTTTCAGGCCTGGATGCTCCACTTTCTATCCAGTTCTCTGCTAGTGTGCCTGAAGCACCAGAAGATGGACCAAGTTCTTGGGTCCCTACCACCATGTGAGAGAACTGGAGTTCCAGGTGTCTTGCTTTGGACTAGCCTGGCCCTGGGTGTTACGGAGAACTGGGAAGTGAACCAGTGGATGGAAGATCTCTGTGTCTTTCTTTCCCTCTGTAATTCCTTCTTTTACTTAACTCAATACATCTCCTAAAATACACATTGATGAGAATAAGTAAGGCGAAAGGAAGAAAAGAAAACCAACCGTTTCCCATTCTAAAACCATGTTCACATCTTATTCCCACAGGCCAGTATCATGACATAGCAGGCTGCATCTTCACCTGCGACACTGGAATCCCATGTGGATTTCAGTTAGCATCCTGGCTGCTCCACTTCCAGTCCAGCTCCCTGTTACTAAGACTGGAAACGCAGTGGGAAATGACCCTTGCACCCACGTGGGGGGCCTTGGCTGGAGCTCTTGGCTCCTGAATTTGGATCTGTCTCGGCCTGTACTGCCATCTGGGAAATAAACCAGCAGGTGGAAGAGTCTCTCCCTCTCTGTAACTCTGTTTTAAAATAAATAAGTCATAAAACTAAAATCTTTTATCCCCAAAGCTTTGTTTCTCAGGTCAAGAAAGATCAGTGGGAATCCTACGGTATGAGCATGTCCACACTTGATGTCATCACTCAGGAACACAGGTGAAGAAGGATATCAATGGCCCACAAGGACACCAGCTGTCTTGGAATGGGGAAGCGGCTCAGTCACTTTCCTATGGGCAAGCAGCATGTGCCTTTTGGGCTTACCATGCTCTTCTTTTAAACCCCGTAACCAAACTGAGCGCAGCAGTGGGGTAGCACCATGGTTTCCAGACCTGGGGTCCGAGCGAGTACAAAGACTTTCCCACGACGGGCAACAGGAATGAGCCCCTGGGAGGAAGGCTGAGAGACGGCACGCAGTGAAAGCAGCCACGGGCAACTGCAGGACAAGGGCACCTGAGCACAGCCCACACTGAGCTGCCGACAGCAGGGCACATCCTAGCCAACTTGATCGAACTCTGTACCTGCTGTCCCCTCAGGTCAGAGCTTGCTTGCCCAACGCCCCTTGTTCCTAGTTCCTTGGTTTGCTAAAAATCTGAGAGGCTGTCAGGATGCCAAGCTCCAAAGTGGATTGAGTTGACCATGGGGCTCTTGCGAGAGCTTGCTCTGAACAACTCAAGAGAAATACAACCCACTTCCAGCTCTCTACACACAGCTCTGTGACCTCCATCACTGAGGAGGCACAGGGTCACACAGGCTCCTCAGCACGTGCAGGGGACTCGCATAGTGTGTCTGCCTTGCAACCTTGGGGCAGGGAGATTTAAAAAGAACTTTCCAACCACTTAACCACACACCACATAAACTCCTACACTTACGTCATAGCTTTGGGGTGCCCCCAAAGAGGCAAAATGTTCACCCAAATGAAAACTTTAAAATGCAATATATTTTTTTAAAAAATCTTTCCTTTAAAAAAAAAGTAAAGTATTCACCACCTCTAAATATTTTGGACAGCCTAGACTATCTTTGGAGTATTTATTTGGGCTCCAATTTTATTGAGGGGATGAAGTCCTGCCTCTGATAGAGGACAGGAAGGCAAGACGAACACGCATGTGCTTCTGTAAGATTAGCAACCTCCAAGACTGTGACAGTGACCCACATGGCTGCATGATAAGCCAGCCAGCACGAAGAGCAGTCCCCAGGCCCTGGGCGGGAGGATCCTGGTGAACCACAATCAGAAGCATTCAGAGGCTGTGATAACAGAAATGAACATGGCCACACTGAACGCTCCGAACTTTATGACTGTGGTTTGCAGATTAAGCGCATGGACTGTATGGCCCGGAAGCCCGTCATGTTCTCACCGCAGCTGCCCTCAGACTGTCCACAGTGGCTCTTCGGCATTGTCTCTGCAGTTTACAATTCCTTGCACGGTATCTGGACCAAACACTAAATCAATCCATGAAAGATCCTTGCCAGAGCAGGTGCATTTAACCCTCACAGCAGTGATCCCGGAAGAGAAGAGATGCTCCCTAGTGCTAGCACTCATCAGGCCCAGCCTGCGTGGTTCACTAAGAGTGCAACACTCTGCCTCATTCTCACAGGACGTGGAACAAGGCAGATAGAAACAGTCTCCCTGTTCTGCAGCTAGAAAAGCCATGGCACAGTGAAAGTCATTACCAAGCCATGGAGAAGCACCACAACCATGGCTACTGTCAGTACACACCGGCACCAGGACTGAATTCCAAGGTCCACACTGCTGAGCACAGCATCTGGATTTGAGACTTGGGCGTCTGTCCCACAGAATTGACATGTCTAGTTGTGGTCGCATCAAAGCTACCCCTGCCAGGCTGCCCCTCTCCGCCTCTGTAGGTGACGTCTACTATCATCCGCACGAATAAAGCGGACTCTGGGCCTCATGGCAATTCTGCTCAACTGATGGAAGTGGGGACTTACAGGGACATGGGCCTCAGGGCAGAGGCCACAGCCAACTGGAAATCACCAGGAATGCTCATTTAAAGAAACCGTCTGCTATGGGTCTGAGTGGCAGGTGCCTCCATGTCTGAAATGCAAGCCAGTGTCCACTACAGCTAAATCTCTTGATGCTTCTGGACACAGACAGGTTCCACAACTCATGAAGGAAGTAACCCACCACAGTCTCACATCTGCGAGGGGTCCGGTGGTCTAGAGAAACGAGCCCTTCCCAGCAAAGACACCCTGCCCATTGAGCTCTACCATCCCCGGCATCTTACCAGCAATCCAACTCCCTTCTAAAACATCCATGTGGACTGAAAAGTGTGTCACATACCACACTGCAAGTGGCTTCACTCAGACACTCACACAGTGAACTACAAGGCTGCATGGCCCCTACACTCATGTTTGCTCTGGGAAGATAACACCATCTGAAGTCTTTATGGAAAAATGAATCAACGTGCGTAGTGATTTTCTTCCAAGAGTTGCTTCCAGATTCAGGGATGGAAGTGGGATCAGATGCTCAGTGGGTGACCAACACATGCGTGCAGAGGACCGTGTTATCACACTTACCTATGGGATTTCTGTCAAAGAACAGCACCGGAGCTCTCAGGATGGACTCGAACATTTTGTTGTGCAGATTTTGCGAAGAATTAACAAGCACGTAGAATACCAACAGAGATCTTGCGATGCCGAAAAGGACGGTAGCTACAGTTAAACCTGAAATAAAGAAACGGCAATAAGAAAACTTGGGACCCCTGCCTTTTCTTCAGCACTGTTAAAGCAGGTCATTTTTAAAGATATTCATGTATTTTATCCCATAAAAGCACTGTCCTCTGCAAAAGCATAATGGATTTTACTAGATTGACAATCTACTTTCCTCTCACTGAATGAAAACTACATGAAGACAAAGAATAGGTGTGAACTACAATTCTAGGCTTTCATACTTTCATTTCTCAGAAACATAAACAACGATCCAGAGAAAGAGTTGATCAGGGCCACCACCGCCATGAAGCAGGGCAAGGCACCGCCTGCGACGCTGACACCCCACACGGGCATCGACTGCACCTGCCTTCCTCCCAGCCAGCTCCTTACTAATCCACCTGAGAAAAGCACTGGAAGATGGTTCATGTGCTCTGGCCCCCATCACCCACGTGGGAGACCCAGAAGAAGCTCCTGGTCCCTGGCTTCCACCTGGCCCAACCCCAGCCATCGCAGCCATTGAGGGAGGGAATCAGTGGACAGAAGGGGTGTGTGTGTGTGTGTGTATGTGTATGTGTGTGTGTGTGTGTGTGTGTGTGTGTGTGTGTGTGTGTGTAACTCTGCCTTTCAAATAAATAAATAAATAAATATTTAGACAGAAACAACAAAAAAGCAGCAGCTGATCTTCCTTTCTCCACATGCCAAATATTATTTAACGACACATCACGTAAGCTAAAAAGGTGGTATATTTTAATACCAACATGTGATATTAACAAGGAATGGGAAAAATGATTTACCTTTTCCTTGTAGAAAATGCCCAAGTAGCTTTAAAGAATTTGAAAATATCACATTAAGTTCCAAAACTCTCAAATAACTGAATGGCAAGAAAATACACTTTAACACCAGATAATCAATCCAAAAAAGCAGCTGATCTCCCACTCCGTGTTTCCTAGGCACACAGTGCACTTCTAAAAGGACATAAACTTCATAGCTGATTTTGATTAAGACATGTCTGCAGAAACTGAAAGTTCTTTCCCAGTATCTCTTCATCCCAATACTACGTAGGGAGGTCACTTGGGTTAGAAATACTTCCTCTTTGAAAGACATCTTAGTGTTACTCAACCTCTGATGCCCCGAGTCTCCTCAACACTATGTCTGGGTGGCTCCCTCGCTGCCCATCCCTCATGGATACATAACACAGCTGGCTTCCCTCCTCCTCTCGGCCTTGCAAAGCCCACCACTCCCGCAGCTTAACAGCTGACGGACTCAGACGTCCTAACGAGAGTCACGAATTTTCAGTGTCTGATTTCTAAGACAACTCCCTGGACGCCTCGGAGGAAAGCATCTGTGGGAACGTTTGACATTTTAGATGAGGGCTGTCTAGGCATTCCCACGACAACAGTGTGGTGCTAGGGTGAGGCTGGCGCGCCACATGTTCCATGCGTCGCCCAGGTGGGGGCGCAATAACACTGGGATCTCAGGTGAGGACGGAGGAGGAGCCCTAACCCCCAGCCGCGCGCTGCTTCCCTGCTTTGCTTCTTTCTTAGGTGATTAGTGAGCGCTGAGAGGTGAGGAGGATGGTGAAGGAAGCTTTGAACACCTGTGAGGAATAATGCTTCTATTTGTGGGGGGCGGGGGGAGTTGTTGCCAGAGGATTTCATCTGAGTTGAGTATAAAAGCCGGGGTTTACCCAGACAGGATTGGAACCATTCGAACCACAGGGGTGGGGATCCGTTTCTAATCCCCTTGCCCATCCATATAATGATAGAAGATTTAGCGAAAGCAACCTATTAGAATAGACACTAGGCATATATTTCCAGTGGCTGGTTTTCTGAATGCTCAATCCTAGTTTCACTTCCAAAATCCAGAGCAGAGCAAATTGAGAGTCTTCAATTCAATCTCCTTTTGATGGATTGCAAAAAAAAATTATTATTATTATTAGAATTCTAATTAATTCAGCGTCTATGTGACTGAGCCCTCTGGTCTGCCAGGCCATTGCCACATTACTCCCGGAAGCCCTGCTTATGCACACAGGCTGCTGATGGGCAGCCCCGCAGACCCTCACGGGACAGACCCTCACGGGACAGACCCTCACGGGACGCGACTTTACCTGAATAAATGCTCAAGTACCAGGTAAGATCCAGCTGCTCAGTTACATTCCCTTGGCCATCGATGGTGACATTTAGGGCACTCTGTTCATTTGCCCTGTGGCACAGGGGAGAGGTTTAAGAAAAAACAGTATTAAAACATGGGTGCCATTTACACAAAAACTAAACCAAGTGGCCCCCACCCTGGGAGCGATGCTGTATGCTGGAGGATGACTCTTGCCTCACACAGGCCTGGGTCCATCCACATTAGAATCACTTGGGAGTTCTCAACACACCACTGAGGGCTAGGTGTGGGTAGTGGCCACCAGGGGTCGCACTCCACTAGCAAGATGAATGACAATGTGAAGCTTACAGGAAAAGGCTGAACAAACTCTCCCACCACCACTACCGCCACCCACCATAAAAGTAAGGCTTCCTGTCGGCTGGACCCCTCCGAGTTGGACCAGAAACAACTCACCAGTACGACAGCCACCAATCCTGCAGCACATAGGCCACCTACAGAAGGGGAAGCGGGACACTCAGCATTGGCAATGCAAAACGCTTAATCACTACAACACAAAAACCAAAGAAAGGATGCCGAGCAAGGAGGAGAGGGCGCCTGTGCCTCGGGGCTGTGCAGAGCCCAGCTCCCCAGATAATAAGAGGTTAAGGAAATAATGCACAGCACACTGGGAGATCTTTAAACGATGCTCCTGGAAGCACTGCTCATTTTGTCTCCTCAATGCAAACTCCAAGTGAATAAATAACTAACAACCCGAAGGTACAAAACCCAGCCCCAACTCACCTGGGCTGCAAGGTTTAGCAGAATAAGCACAATGATGATAAACCAGTGAGCGCCCGCTCTGAAGTAATTCTTATAGGCCTTAAAGCCAATCTTGCCTTCAGAACGACTCTCCTCAGTCAGTGCCACTTGTGTATTCTCAGCCTGAAGAAAAAGCACAGTGAAAGACAAGGCAGACTACAAAACGGCTCCCACAGTCGCCAAGGCGCTGCACCGGGGGGCTGGGCATACCCCCCAAAGGGTTGGAGTAGCAAACGTGTTTCCGCCACGTAGAAGGGTCTGCAAGATCTAGCCAAGCTCCCTGCCCCGCCACACACATACACTCACCCTTGGACCCAGCCAGCCCATATCTGGGAGTCTAGTCAGCAAATTACAAATGCATCCTATGGCATGTTTCTGCAGTATGATGGGGTCCCTCATGGTTTCCAGCATATGGCTAACACATCAACCGTAAGTGCAGGATCTCTCTCCAAAATAATACACAGAGAGACGTGGAATAAATGTGCCACTTGAGATCGTCAAAGACACGAACAAACATATATAGCCAAACTTAGTTCACAAAGTGTATATGGATAATATACACTTACAGAAAGCAAAGGGATCTGTTTCTATCAAAATAATTCAGGCTCCTGGATTTAGACAGTTGAGGGTCTGGCTGTTTCCCTTGAACATATTTTCAAGGGAGTTCCTGCATTTCTGTCTGGAGAACTTGGGATGTGCTGAGCGTATCCCAGGTGTATGCTGGCCACTTGGGATGTGCTGAGCGTATCCCAGGTGTATGGTGGCCACTTGGGATGTGCTGAGCGTGTCCCAGGTGTATGCTGGCCACTTGGGATGTGCTGAGCGTGTCCCAGGTGATGGTGGCCACTGGAGAGTAAAAGATGAATGTGATGTGGTTCCCAGTCTTGAAGAGCAAAAAAGGAAGATGGGAACAACACCACACTGAAGACTGCCCACTACGGCAGGAGCTTCATTGTCCTTGCGCATGCTATTTCTGGCTTAACATAAACCATTTGAAAATAGGGCCAAGGAATCCTACTGATGACTTGCAGTGTGAGAACATATCCACAAAGAAGAGAGGTGGCTGACATTATGTGAGAAAATAGGTTGATCTGAGGGGTGTGTGTGTGTTGTGGGGGAAGGCTTCCAATTCAACACCTATAAGCATGGAGGCCACCAGAACACGTAGGGTTTGCTCAGCAAGAGACACAGTCAGCTTCAGGTCATATGGCATCAAAGCCAAAGGAGACACCCCCACCCCCACAACTAAGCCTTTCCCGTTTTCTGTCTGATTCTACCCATTGCCCTGAGCTTGGTTCCCAAGTCCAGTGTGGGACAAACGAAGTGAGCAGGTCAAAGGTCTACCAGGCCAACTACAGCCCACAAACAAAATCAGGTGAGGTGTGGCAATGCAGGTACTCACCTCCTGGCCCTCGGGGGCGCTGTCTTTGAGGGAGGGTTTGGACGACTGCTGAGACCACACCGAAGACTCCGAGAAGGTTCGATTCCTCAGTGTGGGCGTCCCAGGAAGGGGAGACGGCTCGGCTTCCTCATTTTCCTTCTTTAAAAGGGAACCAAAATCTACCCCAGATTTCAGGAACTCGGTGTAGGTTCCCTTCTGCACCATTTCTCCCTGAAACACAAAGAATTTCAGAGGAATATTTGTGCATCTGATACCACCAATCTGCTCTCGTACTAACCAGCAAACATTAAGATCATCCTTAGAGCTGAGATTCTGGTTGACAAAACTAGGGCAAGTCACTCCGACGTGCAGTTGTGTTTGGCTTCCGTCAAACACTGCACTGGGTGATGGCGGACAGAAAGGAAAGCTGTTAGCAGTCTCACTGCAGAACAAGAAGCTGAAATACACCACATAGGCAAGAAGGAAAGAAGCAGCCACCTGGAAGAAGGATTTCAGGAAAGCAGGAGGACGGATGGGAAGATGGCCACAGCACCTTTGCTGAGGAGTCATTGAGCAAGCCTCAGCTGGCCCTTGTCCCTCTCGCTGGGAGAAGACCTGGGGAACGGAGCTGTAGCTTCCTGCTCTTCCCTTCAGAACTGCCCTGGAAACTCAGGAACCTCCTGACTGAACACTCCAAGACACCTCATCACACGGTGTTGCTCGCTTACTAAGCCGTTGGGAATAAAGTGCAAAGATCAGTTCTACCTGTGTACCCTGTGAAAGAAACCAAATGAATTACTGCACCAGGAACCACCGAAAAACACTAAGCCAAATCCAGGGTGCAAAGCAAATCAAAGGATGGCCTCCCTGCCTGCTCCCCAACCCTCCCACCCATAAGGCGCTCCTCTAAGAAAAATTCCATGATGCCCTGGTTTATTTGGAACAACACGGTAACAAAGACTAGAACATTATTCATGATAAAGGTGGTGGGTACATGGTCCCACCTAGCACAGGGAACTCACATACCTTATTTCATGACAATTACCGCTTTCTACTTTGCACTTACAAGACATACAAGGAAAACTGCTGCTGGCATTCTGATTAAAATGGGCCTGGCGCAATGGCCTAGTGGCTAAAGTCCTCGCCATGAACACACCTGGATCCCATATGGATGCTGGTTTTAATCCCCGCAGCCCCGCTTCCCATCCAGCTCCCTGCTTGTGGCCTGGGAAAGCCTTGGGATCCCACACCCACGTGGGAGACCTGGAAGAGGCTCCTGGCTTCAGATCGGGGCAGCTCCAGCCGATGCGGCCGCTTGGGGAATGAATCATCAGACGGGACATCTCCCTCTCTGTCTCCCTCATCTCTGTATGTCTGACTTTCCAATAAAAAGAAATAAACCTTTAAAAAAAAAAAGAAAAATTTGCCTGAAAAGCCAAGGACCAACAAGCCAGAGAGGGACTGCAAGGAACAGTCTGATGTTAAGCAGCTGTTAAGCAAGATCAGATCAACAGTGAGAAGAGATTTCAGTTCACCCCAGGGTGCCCACCAGGGATACCCGGTTCTTTTAAAAGCACTGAAGTTGGAGAATCCTGCAAAACAGGCCCCCAAGAGGACCTCAAGGCACCCCATGGGCGAGATGGTTATTCTGCCACCTGCTGATTCTGCGCTCCTGGCTTTAGACATTTGAGCTGTGCTGGAGTTCCTCTGCAGGTGACATTATTTTCAAGTTTGAGGCACCTGAGCTCCTGCTCCTAGCAGAGCAGACAGCTCCAACAGGGAATGCAGCAGCCCTTCACATAGGCTCCCCAGCAGCCCCGTTAAGCATTTAGACCTAAACATACAAGCCTGCTGCTGTCATTATAAATCTGGTCTATCCAATAATGTGAAATGTGTCTTTTTTGACAATGGTGCACTCAGAGCTTGGGAAGTTAGCTAATTTTCATTATTGCTTGCTTCCATCATTTGCTACAAGATTGTGGGTTGGGGAAGGAACCAAGGGGTTTTCAGACCTACCATGTGGGATTTGGCCAAGGGCTGAGGGAATAGCCGAGGGGCAATGACAGAGTGCCAAGGCACAGAGACCAACAAGATGAGCATCTGAAGGATTCCCATGGACCCCCACTCACTTCCCCATCACACCAGCTGCTGTGACTTGAATGGTTGGCCCCCAAGAAGTAAATTCAAGAACTCCTGTAAATAGGACCTTGTTTAGAAATAGGATCCTTGCAGATATAATACAGTTCAATCAACTTAGGGTGGATCCTCAGTCCCATGCAACTGACGTCCCCTGCTGAGAGGAAATATAGACACAGAGACACAACGCCCTGGGACAGCAGAGGCAGCCCAATAGCAACAAGAACACCCCCACAAAACCCCAGAAGGTGTCAGAGGTGAGGAGGGAGTCTCGCCTGGGTCCTCAGAGGGCACAGCCCAGCCAACACCTTGCAGTCAGACTTGCAGCCTGTGGGACAGTGAGAGAATAGACACCTGCTGTGGCAAGTCATTCACTCTGTGGTACTGCCTTCCCAATGCACCAGCCTAAGCCCCCACCTGCGTCTGCTCACCACTACGATTCTGTTTGCATTGTCACTCTTCCAGCAAACATCAACAGGCATCTTGTAAAGCCACAAACCCTGCCCTGGCTATGCCAGCCCTGTGCCAGCACCACTGACTACTGCCCTGAGCCTTGCCCTGGCCACACCAGCCCCGTGCCAGTGCCACTGACTACTGCCCTGAGCCCTGAGCCCATCTCCCACCACACTTGCTCCAGGTGGCTCAGCTCCGGTCAGGCTACCTCCCTTCCATCTGTCCCAACATGGCAGTGACTTCCTTGCTTAGGGACCTGCCAGGTGCTCCTGTGGCAGACGCATCTCCCTGCGAGGTGACCGCACAGGCAGAACCTCCGTTTGTGTTGTCACTGAGATGCCCATGCACCAGCCCCACCTCCTGTCTCCGTCACAGCACCCATTCCCAGGAGGTGTGAAGGGCCTAGGATAGCAAAGAGGTGTTTCTCCTACCAAGGCCAGAGACCAGCTATGGGCTACATCAGAAGAGTGGGTGCTGGGCCCAGTGGGTGCCCTGCTGCGTCATTGATGCAGGATGTTTGTTGGGTAAACAGTGAATAAAACTGAAAAAGACACAAATGGGCCTTCCTGTTTGCACCTGGTAAGTAACTTGAAGTCGTGGAAGGAAGAGAACAAGACGCTCTTCTTAAAGCAACACCATTATCTTTCTTTTTCTTTTTCCTTTTTTTTCCTAGCATCATTATCTCTCATGATTTCACCAGAACCACTACAATTTAGTAACTGCGACGCAACAATCTGATATGTATGAGCTACCCGGCTTTGAATGCAAGAGTGACATTTCTACCAGGCCTCGAATCTGAGAAGATGACATGAAGCCAGGGAAGGAAGAGTCATGCCCACAGCGGCAGCCTGTGGAGAGGTCCTCCGCTAACAGAGCACAAGGCAGGTCCGCCGCCTTCCAGAAATTACTTACATCTTTCAGTATCAGAATGTGACTTGCAGCTTTTAGGTACTGCAACTGATGAGTCACTAAAATTGTGATCTTCTCGTGCAAGGCTTGGCAAATGCACCTAGAAATGTAAAGGACACAGCACAAACACATTAGTGAGGGCGCTCCCAGTGGGAAAACGTGCATAAAGACAGCACGGCCATCAAACACGCATGGTTTAAACACAAACGTAAACACCGCATATGTAACCCACGTCAAGGGAGCCGAGAGCCTCAGGCTCACCAGCAGCAAACCCGAGCCTCACCCCGAGACTGCGCACAAAGGTCTGGCCCAGGGTGTGGCAAAGCTCAGTGTAACACTGACTTGGGCATCTTACGGCGAAAGCCAGTCAACCAACACCTCACTTAGCGAAAACTCCAGTAACAAGGGAGAGGTAGTCGGAGTCGGACCAACGCGCAGGGTTTCTTAGCCAGTTTCCTGTGGACACACACACACACACACACACACGCAAATAAGTCCAGATTCCTCAACACAACCTCTGTCAGAGTGCATTTTCTAGATCCCTCTTCCCACGGAACAGAAAAACACATGCTAGCAACAGCAAGAACCCAGTCAGTCTCCATGACACTCCCAGGCCCAGCCAGGAAGCCATTCTCTTTCCTTAGGGCCACCCTTTCCTCGTAGGACACCTTCCTACAAGAAAATGAAAGGACACAATCCAAATGTTCAGAACACAGTGTTCTTCCTCCCCCCGGTCAAAAGTCACCATGCCCCCCCAATATTCACCCCTGCAGTACATCATCACAACTCCCTCCAAGGTCCCCTGAGAGTTCGGCACAGCCCCCCACTCCCAGGCGGGAGGGCAAGCAGCTTCACGTACAGGACTGGGGGAAGCAGAGTTGGAGCTCCCAGCAGAGACTTCGGGTTCGCAGCTCCCTGCACAGAGCCCAAGTCAGGAAGATGGGTGCCCAGACAACATGCTGAAGGAGCCAGAGCAGAACAGAGCTCCACTCTACCTTCCACTGGCCTGGCAGAGCTGGGCCAGTGGCTGAGCCTCTGTGCACCTTGGTGACGCCATCGGCAGATAAAGGCATTGGGAACACACTGCATGTCATGGGACACAGAAACACAAACCTACAGAGCCCAGAAGCTAACTGAGAGTCAGCTTCACCCTCCAATCGCTTCCTGGGGTCACAGCTAATCATCTGCTTTCCACTCATGCGGAAAGTCCTAAAGGGGACACCTGGGGGCTAGACCCACTATCAGAACCAAGTCCCTGAGTGCAGACGAATAAATTCTGACTCCATTCTCTCACTCAAGCAGGATTAAGGTTTCCCTCTAGACATGTCTTAACTTGGCTGACTTCATACCTAAGTTTCTCAACCTAGTAAATCCCTCTTCAGGCTTGGTGCTCAAGCTTTTAATGGAATTGTTTATCCTTAATTCAAAATCACCTGCCATAAATCCCTCTTTCTAACCATCTAAAGGGAAATGTTAACCATCGAATCTGATAGGCGATAGCAACTTTGTCCAAGGAGGTCTTACATACACGATGTACATCAAAGATCTGCCTTCACAAATAAGGTTGCACAATGGACTGAAATTAACAGGGTGGTTTAAAAATCTCCCCAAACCTTTTTTTTTTTAAATCTACAGGAAAACACAGCCCAATTTTTCAAGAGAAAAAAAAATCCCAACTCACAACATAAACACTGATTAATTCAACAGCGACTTAAATAAAAATGGACAGTCACCCAATGGAGAGCTGTAGGCCAATAGGTAGGACACACTGGCCCCTGCAGGTGAGGGGGGAAAGCCAGACGGGCAGGGTCTGAGTCCACCCTTCTCCATGGCGTTGGCATATGGTGAAGGAACGTGAGCCTTGCACACAGGCAGATGTAAGAACAGGCATGCCTGAGTGAAGTCACCCAGGCTACAGTGCTGTGTCTATAAGGGTCTGCCATTTGAGGACTCAGTACTGTATCTAGGAGGTGAGAGGAGCCTGTGAAGGGCTGAAACAGGACTGAATGTTCCCCATATCCTCAGGTTGATGACATATTGAAGGAGGGAGGTGCTAGGTGGAAGGCTGTTGTCTGGCTCACAGAGAGCCTGGAGCTGACACCATCCTGGCTGCTGCGATGTCCATCTCTGTTCCTCAGGAACCACCTTCCGACAGCCTTCTGTGACAGCAGCCTGAATTCAGGCCTCACATAAGGACGCCAGACCCAGAGAACTCTCCTTGCAGGAGGCTGAGAGCTGAGGCTTTCCAATACAGGGCTGCCATCACAGCTCATGGCAGATCTGACTGGTTACCGTAAGAGCCCCGGGCCCTCAGGATGCAACTAAACCCACTTAACATTTACAACATACAGTTGTAAAACTCACAAAGCTTGATAACCATGGACATATATTCATGATTGAAGTAAAACTGTGAATGGCAAGTAGAAATGTAATTCACTCACTTTTAATACAAAACACTTCACATTTCTTAAGCTTCTACACAATCGCCATCTTTCACAGCATATTGTTCAATCCAATTTTCTAACTCGTTGAGAACATTCTCCAATTGCTGCTGAGTGATTTCCTAAATTGGGTCCATGTGCCCTGCTCTAAGTTTCCCCAAAGAATGTGCTTCTGATTAGCAAACAACCATTTTCACAAGCTGGCTTCTATCAGGTGTATATCCAAGGGCATTAAACCTTACAGGTGCGAGAGGACTTTATAAATACCTCCAGTATCCCCCCAAAAAGAAAAAACGTGGGGGAGGGGCATCTGATTCTCCTCCCCAGCCCTCCCTCCCAGGCGATGAACACTGCACCCCGTCAGGAGCTGTTCTGTGAATGATGGAGGACTTGAGTGTACCCACACAAGACTCAACCAAGCCACAGAAGCCCCTCTCTGCCCAAGGAGAGATCCATTAACAGGTGCGCGGGTAGCATTGGGCACATTCACGCTGTTCTGCTACCATCGCCACCACCTGCTTCCAGAACTCTCTCATCATCCCAGCTCCAGGCACACTTCACTTGCACACTCTACTAGGGAAACATGCAGTGACACCCCACTCAGACAACCAGAGTCCCACGCTGGGGAAAAACTCATGTGCCAATTTGTATGGCATCCTGGCAACATTAGTGGGCTTCCAAAGGCTTGTGAATTAAACGATAATGTAATGGGTTGGTGTATGGCCTGATAGCTCAGATGCGAGTTAAAATGCCTGCATCTCCCAGCAGAGCACCTGGGTTTAATGCCCAGAGCTGCTCCAGCCCCTGGCTAACGCAACCCTGGGAAGCAATAGGTGATGGTTAAGGAAGCTGAGTTGGTCATGTGGCAGTGAAGCTGAAAGGGCTCACTAGGACGCACAAGGTAAACAACCAAAAGGAAGCTAAATGCAGGCAGAGAAGTTCTGGAGGCTGCTTATTAAAATTTTTAAAATTTAACAATTATTTATTTGTTTGACAGAGATATCTAGAGAGGGTGATCTTCCATCTTCTGGTTCACTCCCCAGATGTCCACAGCCAAAGTCAAGTGTGGCTAAAGCCGAGAACCAGGAACCCCATGTAGGTCTCCCATATGTATTAACGGCTAGGGCCCAGGTACTTGGTCCATCTCCATTGTTTTTCCAAGCACATGGGCAGGGAACTATGTCAAAAGTAGGGCAGGCCTGGCAACATGGCCTAGCGGCTAAAGTCCTTGCCTTGTACGTGCCTGGGTCCCATATGGGTCCCGGTTCTAATCCTGGTAGCTCCACTTCCCGTCCAGCTCCCTGCTTGTGGCCTGGGAAAACAGTCAAGGACGGCCCAAAGCCTTGGGACCCTGCACCTGCATGGGAGACCTGGAGGAAGTTCCTGGCTCCTGGCTTTGGATCGGCACAGCACTGGCCATTGCAGTCACTTGGGGAGTGAATCATCAGACGGAAGATCTTCCTCTCTATCTCTCCTCCTCTCTATATCTGACTTTGGGCAACAAGGATTCACGCCAGCACTCTGAAATAGTGCAAGCAGCAGTTCAATCCACAGCTCAATATACCGCCCCATGACACTGGTCCCTCTGGATGTCCTTTAAGCTAGACCAGGTTTACCATGCTTTCACCAAAGCCAGTCACAACCACAGAGGAAGTATCGGGCAGCACCTCCCATTACAATCTACACACACACACACAAAACATCTCAGTCACTCTACCTTGTGGCTCTGTGGCTAACCAAGAGCCAATGAAAACACATTCCAGAAACACCCAGGTGCAAAATCAGGAGTCAGGTCAGAGGCTGGAGCCCCAGTTTCCAACAGAAGCTAATATTCTCCACCATGGGTCATGAGTGTTACTTTTACTAAGAATCCAAAAGGCAACAGGATAACCCTCGAGTCACACTCTGATACCACTGTTCCAGACACCACTAATTCTTTCCAAACCTTCAGTGTAAATAAAAACCTCAAGGTTTTCTGTTTGTTTATTTGTTTTTTTGTAATAACCTCACAGCCTTCCCCGGCCCTAAAATCATACTTCCAATGCACCATAAACCAATGAGAAAGGCAAGAATAGACAGTCCAGCCCCGGGAACTGCCGAGCCCCATCCAGGAACTGAAGCACCCCGCAGCACGTTTCTTCCTCCTGGAACTACATCCAACCACCGTGTCTTGGTGGTCAACTCAAGCAGCAGACAGAAAAGCAAGCCTAAAGGGCCATGCATTTCTTAACTCCCTAAAGCATGCTCTCGGCTCCCTGCCATCAGCTTCTGTATTCTCCTGTCTCATGTCTCATATTTCTGCAAAAGCAATCTTCTGAGAGGAAGGTGTAGGTTACCCATAGGAAAAGGAAGTTGAATCGCCCAAAGCTACAACCCAGGACAGTTCTTGGAAAGCAGAAATGGCAGAAAACACGTGTCAACTCACTGCTGGAACAAGTGCCTGCTGACTTCAGCATCCACTGCACTGAGAGGATCATCCAGGAGGTAGATGTCGGCATCCTGATACACCGCCCTGGAACAAAACAGGGGGAGGAGTGGTCCCCACCTGCCGCTCCCCCAGGAACCACAGCAGAGGAGTGGTCCCCACCTGCCGCTCCCCCAGGGACCACGGCAGAGGAGTGGTCCCCACCTGCCGCTCCCCCAGGGACCACGGCAGAAGAGTGGTCTCCACCTGCCGCTCCCCCAGGGAACACGGCAGAGGAGTGGTTCCTGCTCAACGCTCCCCCGGGAACCATGGCAGAGGAGTGGTCTCCACCTGCCGCTCCCCCAGGGACCACAGCAGAGGAGTGGTTCCTGCTCAACGCTCCCCCGGGAACCACAACAGCACCTACAACTGCCAAGTCCAGCACCCACCAATAAGCAGGTCCCACACACTTCCCACAGGCCGGGGCTCAGCATGCACATCTCCTCTACCAGAGGCACGAGGGTGTGCAGGTGGTGAGGAGGTGGCATACCTGGCCAGGTTGATCCGCGCTTTCTGCCCTCCGCTCAGCGTGGCTCCCCGATCTCCTATCATAGTCAGATCTCCATCCTCCAGAAGCTGTAAATCCTGTGTGGAGAAAGAGATGGGTCTCCCACTGTCAGACTAAGCTTGGCACAGCTGTCTATCAGAAGACGACACATTTCATCAACAGCAATGCACACGTTCCAGATTGACTGAATCATAGCACTGAACCCTTCCAACAATCTCACTGGCTCTGTGTTTATTTTAATGCTGCAGAACATGTGTACCCCTAACCACTGTAACAGATATTCAGTGAGCTGCAGCCTGAAGGCAGGCACGGATCTGGGCACAATGAGCGAAGCCAAGTCCCAAAACCTTCCACATAGGAGACAGACTAACCTAACAAAGCAACACCAAAGCACAGGAAGGAAAAGAAGCTGGGTCAGGGCACAGAGCACCCTGCAGGGAAAGCGTGTTTCAAAACACAGTGGTTTGCAAGGGCTCTGGCCAATGGGGTCTAGCAGAGACCTGATGGCGGGGAGTGGGCTGGTGCAGGTCAGGGGTAAGAGTGTGCTTGGGGGGCTGGCACTGTGGAGTAATGGATAGAGCTGCCACATGCAGGTCAAGCACCCCGTATCGGCACAGAACTGAGTCCCAGCTGCTCCACTTCAGTGAAACACGGCCCAAGTTCTTGAGCCCCTAAACCCAGAGGGAGACCTAAAAAAATTCCTGGGTTCTGGATCCTGGCTTCAGACTGACCCAGCTCTGGCTATTGTGGCCATCTGGGGAATGAACCAGCGGGTGGAAAATTTGTCTTCCTCTCTGCGTGACTCTGACTTTCAAATAAATACATAAATAAATCTTAAAAAAGAAAAAAGTGTATCACTTCTCAGTCTTCGGGCTAAGATCAAGTGTAAAAAATAATTTACAAGTGTGCTGTGCGGAGGAATGAGCACAGGCAAATGCAAGCCCAAGGCATGTGCAGTCCAGGGGGTGGACAGTTCAGCTGGGGCCGAACAAGGAGAGCTGGGGGAGATGAGGGCAGAGGAGGCAAAGAGGGTCACAGGTTCACTCCCCGTGACAGGCAGAACAGCATCAGGTTAAGGAACTGCTCCTGCCTCTTTGTGGGAGATGGCAGAGGCAATGATGCTAGCAGGGTTACAGTCAGCAGCCCCCACGCTCACCTGTGGAGACACGACCGTGGGGAGGACCAGTGTGGGGACAAGGAAACGAACAGAAGTGGTCAGACAAGTTTCCTCTGTGTGGGAACAGGAAAGAGCAGGAGCACTGTACTGCCCTTGGCCAGAGAGAGGGGAAGCACAGGGCAGCTCCTCCCCGAGCTGGGGAAGACCACAGACACGGACCTCACACGGCAAAAGTGACTAATTGTTAGTGATGCTGAGCTGCAGCTACAGATGTACGCCTGAAGGTCTGTTCTAGACACACGGGGATCTTGTGGGTGTCGTCACTCTCCACAGGGCTTCCGATGCCACAGAGTACAGGTCGTCACTCGGCCTGACGCCAGTCAGAGTGCCTGGGTTCAATCTCTGCGTCCCCACATTCTCGGATGAACCCCTTGGGAGGCAGCAGGGGATGAATGAAATGACTGAGACTCTGCCGTCTACAAGGAGACCTGGAGTGAGTTCTCAGCTGAAACCCCAGGAAGTTGCAGGCGTCTGGGGGCTGGTCCAGCCTCTCAAAATGAATGAAAGTAATTCACTTTTTAGGAAAAGCAAGAAGTGTGTTTTCACAAGTCATTGGAATAAGTCAAAGCCAGGAGCTCCCACATGGGTGCAGGGCCCTGAGGATTTAGGCCATCTTTCAGTTTTCCAAGGCATGTTAGCAGAGAGCTGGATCATAAGTGGAGCATCCAGGACAGGAACCAGCACCCATATGAGATTTGAGCATTGCAGGTGGCAGCTGAACCAACTACATCATGACAATGACCCCCAGCTTCCCGCTTTTAGAAAAGGAATGATACCTGCCTCAAGTGTACCACAAGGGCAGAAAGAGAAGACTGGGAGTACAACAACGCACAGAGAAAACACCGTGGAAATAGGAAGCATGCATTTGAAGGACAGTGGGCATACTGGCTGGACAAGGAAGGTTCCTGCTTCCTGCAAGCTAGGAAAAAACCAAGTGTTAAGAAGTGCAAGACGTTTTTAGTTCAGTTATCTTTCATCATTATTTGAAAACTAAATCGACAAAGCACAATACCTTAGTAATTTTCTTAATGACAGCAACATTCCTAAAATGACACAGCCATTAGGTGTAGGTTACAAGTTACTGTCCTAGAAATTACTCTGACACAGAGTCTGGGGAGCACGCCGAGTGCTGACTGAGCTCCACAGAGCAGCACCCCACGGCTCCACAGCACAGCTGGCTTAGAGAGCAACGTCTATCCCCAGTCGGCCAAATGTGGGGACAGAACCAGCGGCACCCGAAGATCTCCATAAAACAAGGTCTGTGTCCGCCCTCAGCAGTTCTTCATCCTCTTCTGCAAGACTGAAGACTCAGAGAAGTCTGAACAAACAGCCCGTGGAAGTTGAGTCCAAGTGACTCCAGCAGGCCAGGGGTCCCACCAACAGCAGGCCCTCAGGCCTGGTGTGCAAGCCATCACACACACAGTGCACTGCCAGAGGGAAATGGAGAGACCTCACAGCTGAACTGCATGGTGTCCAGTGAGGGGCTGCTGGCGTGGCCTTTGACAGAATTTAACAATTCTTCCACATTATTTCTTTCACTGAGCTCAGAAGAGAGCTTTGGCTTCCAGCTAGTGTGGAAAATAATGGGAGTTTCAGGAGAGGTTGTGAGTCTTCCAGCCAGCCACCCCAGAACACACACACACGTTGTTTACTTGGCTTCCGGTTCATCGCTGACAGTCCGTATGTTGGTTTCAGCTCAGTTCTGAATGCCTTGTTTAAATTGGTTTCTTTCTCCAAACTGCATCAAGTTGTAGCACAACCATTTTGCCAGAGAAGCTGCTTAAAGATCCACTCCCACTGCACACAGCAGGGCGTAGATGGGCTCTCTCTGAGTCTGACAGTAGCACCTGCGGCACGACAACCTGCAGAGTTGGTGACTCAGCCCACTACTTAGGGCCAAGTCTCAGCCGGGGAAAACCCTTCCAAGGACGTGAGGGAGGTTCCGAGTCAGGCTAACTTCCGAACCATGAGTTTTCCAGCTCCATAAAGAGCAGGTGCTCCCAGCGACAGGAAAATCTCCCATTGGTTTCCTCGCAGTAAAAATAAACCAGTGGTTCCTCTAGGACCCACTCACAGAAACACAGACTCACACGCCAGAGGGAAATCAGGAAAGGGCCACGGGGGCTCGAAGCCAGCCACCCAGAAACAAACCCAGGACATTCCAGCAACAGTGGACAGCGGGAGGCACTGCCGGAACACTTGCTGAGGTCAGACATGAGGTTCAGGCAGGAGAGGAGATTGAGACACTGCTGTCCACAGCTTTGCTGCCATGTGAGTGGCCCTTCCTGCTGCGGTCGGGGCCTTCCCTCCCTACCGTCCCCTCCAAATCCACCCCTTCCATGTCCCCAATCCGGTCATCTCTGCCTGCTTTCTTCCAACAGCTCACGGAGCACTGGCAGTATTCCACGGCTGCCAGGCTTATCGCCCCGGGCAGTGGCAGAGACAGCTCCCACGTGGCGGGAGCCAAGTACGCAGCCTGGCTCCCAAAGCCTCATATTGTCTCAAGTCCTCACCACCAGCTGCAGAGTCAGCACTGTCATCTTTCACAGATGGGGGTGGAGGGAAGATCGTGACTGGTCCAAACCAGATGCACTGGAATGTGCCCCAAGCTCCTCGCCTTTTACTCTTGTTATGCTACCCCAAGTAAGTACTGAAAGATACATTTAAAGTGAAGGTCCTACTAAATCAACTCAAAAGTCAAAGATCTTGGGGCCAGTGCTCCGGCACAGTGGGTAAGGCCACTGTCTGCAGTGTCAGCATTATGCTGATGTGCTTGGGAAAGCCGTGGGAGATGGCCGCAGTGCTTTGGCCCCTCTATCCAGGTGGGAAACCCAGAAAAATCTCCCGGCTTCCGGCTTCAGACTGGCCCAGCTCTCCCTACTGTGGCCATCTGGGGAATGGACCAGAGGAAGGAGGATCTCTCTTTCTCCCCATCTCTTTTGCAACTTTGCTTTGCATAGAAATAAACACATGCATGCATCCAATGTGTGGTGCACAAATCAGGTTTTGGCTTCTTTCAAAAAGTTTAATTTCGGATGAACAGAAACTGCACAGTGTGGTATTTCAATAAACGTGTGCCGACCGAGCTGGGCTCACTGAGATGTCTCCTTTTTGCTTTCCTTTGGAGACTTGGCGGTCTCCTCTTCTTCAACACACTGCAGGTAACCCAGGAAGCAGAAAGGGGGCCGTGGCACCAGGAAGGGGCCCTGGGGAACCCCGGGGGTGACAGTCGGAATCATCTCAGCCAGAAGTCAGGTTTCTCCATGAGCTCCCAGGCAAGCACAAACACTGCCTAACCACTCCGAGGCAGCTGGGTCATTTTCTTTTCTGTTATAGTTTTTTGTTTGTTTCCAAATGAGTTGTCTTCTAGAGAAAAGTGATAAAATGTTTACAAATGAAATACGGCGAGGTCTCAGAAGCCGGATTGGGTGCCAAGCAGTGCCAATCACAGGTGCGTGACGGGCCAGGAAAGTTGCCACATGCCACTCTGCCTTGGCTCACACCATCATAATTGTCCATCTTTTAAAAAGTTCAAAGTAATTAAATCTCACCCCAAATCAAACCAACCTCCCCCCCAGAAAAACAACTTGTAAATTTCATCATTTCATCATGATTAAAGCAGTGGGGAGAAGAGCAGGGAGAACACGCACACACACGTGTACACATGTGTATCCAGAACACGACTGAGGCACTCAGTAACCTTCAAATAACACTGAAAAGTGTTTTGAAACTAAAAAGAAAAAAAAAAACTAACCTTGCAGTTCAGCACAACTATGACTTGAAACATGAGTATGAAATATAAGTCAGTGAGTCTAGCACATGAGCCTAGCTGCTAACATCCTCGCCTTGCACACACTGGGATCCCATATGGGTATGGATTCATATCCCAGCAGCTCCGCTTTCCATCCAGCTCCCTGCTTGCGGCCTGGGAAAGCAGTGGAGGACAACCCAAAGCCTTGGGACCCTGCGCCCACACGGGAGTCCCAGAGGAAGCTCTGTTTCCTGGTTTTGGATCAGCTCAGCTCCAGCCACTGTGGCCACCAGGGGAGTGAGCCAGTGGATGGAAGACCTTTCTCCCTGTCTCTCCTTCTCTCTGTGAATCTGACTTTCTAATAAAAATAAAATAAATCTTAAAAAAGAAATTCAAGTGAGCACTCACCTTTCTCAGCGCACAGGCCTTTATTACTGCTTCATATCGCTCCTTTTCGTACTTCCTCCCAAATAAAATGTTGCTCCTCACAGTTCCTGAAAATACCCAGGCCTGCTGAGACACGTAGGCAACTTTGCCATGCACGCGGACCAGGCCCTGGCTTGGAGGCAGCTCGCCCAGGACAGCACTGAGCAGAGAGGACTGGAACAGACCACACAAACACACGTGCAGTTAGCACCTGGTACCAGCCACGCCACACTGGCCTGCCAGGCCCTTGCATTTCAAACAGGAGCAAGAGCAGCACAGGAGGTCGCCAGCAAAACTTTAAAAATAACAACACCAGGTCAACGTAGAGGAATGGCAAATGCGGAATACTGCTGAGGAGTATATAACCTACTCTGTTCAAATGAGCTTCCCCCAAGTGAAATGCTACATGGAACAAGATTAATGAATGTTTCCAGCAAAGCAATAGCTCAGTATGACAACAAAGGGTACTCCGCAAAGTTTATAGAAAATGAAAGGAAAAGTTTCAGGGACCAGGATTGTGGTATAGCAGCTTAAGGCACTACCAGTGATGCCAGTTCGATTCCTGGCTACTCTAGTTCTGATCTAGCTCTTTGCCAATGCACCTGGCAAAGCAATGGAAGATGGTCTAAGTGCTTGGGCCCCTGCATGCATGTGGGAGATCCAAAGAAGCTCTTGGCTCCTGGGTTCAGCCGGGCCCTGACCGCTGGGGGCCATTGGAGGAGTGAGCCAATGGATGCAAGGTCTCTTGCCCTCTCTCTCTGTATAACTCATTCAAATCAATAACACAATCCATCATCTAAAAAACGGGTATAGGGAGTACGCAGTCAGACTAGCAGTTAAGACACCTGCCTCCCACATCAGAGCACCTGACTCCAGCTTCCTGCTGACATGAACCCAGGGAGGCATCAGTGGGACAGTTTCATTGTACTCTCCGGCTCCCAGTTTGAGTCCCAGCGCAGTCCAGCCCCAGTCCCACCCCTAACCCAAGTCCCAGCCCCAGCCCAGCCCCAACCCAGCCCCAGCCCAGCCCCAGCCCAGCCCCAGCCCAGCCCCAACTCAGCCCCAGCCCAGCCCCAGCCCAGCCCCAACTCAGCCCCAGCCCAGCCCCAGCCCAGCCCAGCCCCAGTTCAGTCACAGCGTAGCCCCAGCCCAGCCCAGCCCCAGTCCAGCCCCAGCCTAGCCCCAGCCCAGCCCCAGCCCAGCCCCAGCCCAGCCCAGCCCCAGCTCAGCCCCAGCCCAGCCCCAACTCAGCCCCAACTCAGCCCCAGCCCAGCCCCAGCCCAGCCCCAACTCAGCCCCAGCCCAGCCCCAACTCAGCCCCAGCCCAGCCCCAGCCCAGCCCCAACCCAGCCCCAACTCAGCCCCAACTCAGCCCCAGCCCAGCCCCAGCCCAGCCCCAACTCAGCCCCAGCTCACCCCCAGCCCAGTTCCAGCCCAGCCCAGCCCCAGTTCAGTCACAGCTCCGCCCCACCCCCAGCCCAAACCAGATTGCTGTAGCCATTTGGGGAGTTAACCAGTTCTACCTCTCACTTTCTATCTTCTGTCTTACAAAAATTAATTAATTAGAAATTTAAAACAAGGAAAAAAATTAAGTTTGGGTGTATGCAGTTCTTTTTATGGCACACATGTTCCATGAACGCTTTTAAGATCTTTCATGTCTGGACACGGACCCTTCTTACAAAACACATGTTCCATGGAACACACACAGGCAAGCTGTTCCAGAAACAGCAACTGAAATCCGGGTTACATGGAGCTTTGGGCGCAGCTCCAAGAACACAGCCTGGGAGGCGATGACAGATGAGGCTGCCGCGGGCCTTACCTTTCCTGCGCCCACGGGGCCAACCACAGCCAGCAGCTCGCCAGGTCTCACAGTGAACGAGAGTCCTTGGAGGGTGGGCGTGTCGAAAGCCTAGGAGGGAGTTCACAAAAACACACCCATTTCAGTCAAGCAGCAGAGCCCGCTTCCAAACCATGGAGAAACTAGCACACAGTCCCTGCAACAGGGACAGAAGCCCGCTCCTGCTCCTCCTTCGCTAAGCATGTCCTGGAGTCCGCTTTGTCCAGTCTTCTTTGCAGCACTTCAAGCCCTTTGGCAGGCCGGTGCTCCTTTTTCCAGAACTCCACAGGAACACGGTACCCCACGACCATGGGATTTGAGTGGAAACAACAAGGTGACTCTTGAAATGAAAGCTTCTTGGCTCACATCAACACACTATAATATCCTTTATATTCATCTGTTATGATTTGGCATTCATTTTCTATTTCATTATCCTCCACAAGGTGGCAACATAAGCACATGACATTTCCAGCCCCTGACTCAAAACAATTAGAGGTCTCTGCACCAAACCTCTCTGTTTGCTTTTAATAAAGAATGTATCTCATTATCACGGGGAGATGAGTTAAACCCTGGCCTGGCATCCCATATCACAATACCAGCTGAAATCCTAGCTGCTCTGCTTCCTATCCTGCTTCCTGCTAGGATCCCTCACAAAGCATGGATGATAACACCCCAGTGCTTGGGTTCCCGCCACCCCCATGGGAGACCAGCATGGCGCTCCTGGCTCTTGGCTTTGGCCCAGCCCAGCTCTGGCTTTAGCAGCCATTTATGGAATGAGCCAGTGGACAGAAGACTGCCTTGTCTCTCCACCTTTTGATAAAATAGCAAAGAGAGAAGTGGGGTAAACAGAGAGAAACAGAGATCTTCCAATGTTGGTTCATACCTAGAATGGCTACAACAGACAGGGATAGACCAGAGCAAAGCCAGGAGTTTCTTTGGGGTCTCCCATGAGGGTGTGGGGATCCAAGCACTTCAGCCAGCATCTGCTGCTTTCCAGGATCATTAGCACGGAGCTAGACCAAAGGTGGAACAAATGGAATTCCAATCAGCATTCAAATGGGATGCTGTTGTCATAGGCAGCAGCTTAACCTGCTACACCAGACCCAATAATCTGAACTTTAAAAAAAAAGCATCTTGGGGACACCCATCCAGTAAGAAAGTTCTTTATAACATCCCTGTTGGCAAACGAACTCACGAAAGTGACAGTGCTACAACCACAGCTCTAATATCCCCAGCAACAACGGTGAGGAATAAAGCAGATATAGGGTCGTGCTCAAAGTGTATATATAGCCTTTGCTTTGTGTCTGTAGGTGTTTCACCCCCTATGCAAATGCAGACAAAACAGTACCTCTACTTGGTCCACCCTGGAGGCACCGCTGCCTACCACAGGGGATGAACACACGGGGGAATGAGGTTAGAGCACTCCTCACACTAGCAGAGACCCCATTTCTAAACAATCTGGAAGCTTCAAGATAAACACACTGAAAGTGCTACATATTATCATGATCTGATAATATCAGTTTCTATGGCCTCAAAACCTAAAACCCCAAACTTTTTTTAAAAAAGATTTATTTATTTATTGGACGGTCAGATATACAGAGAGGAGAGACAGAGGAAGATCTTCCGTCCAATGATTCACTCCCCAAGTGAGCGCAACGACCCATGCTATGCCGATCCGAAGCCAGGAGCCTCTTCCAGGTCTCCCACACGGGTGCAGGTTCCCAAAGCTTTGGGCCGTCCTCGACTGCTTACCCGGGCCACAGGCAGGGAGCTGCATGGGAAGTGGGGCTGCCGGGATTAGAACCAGCACCCGTACGGGATCCTGGCATGTTCAAGGAGAGGACTTTAGCTGCTAGGCCACGTTGCCAGGCCCCAAAACCCCAAACTTTTTGAGAGACAGCATGAAGCCACAAATGGGAATCCCACACTTGACACCACGTGACAGGTGCCTATTAAACAGCAGGAACACTACAACTATCACATACATGACCCCGCAGTTAGGCATGAGCAGGGCTTGAGACATAAATGGATTTCCTGCTTAGACTCAAGTATCATCCCCAAGGCAGTTCAGTATACATCTACAAATATTCCAAAATCTAAAAGAAGAATTTTGAAACACTTCTGGCTCCCAGCATCTGGGTAAGAAATACTTAATCTCCATTAAATGTCAAGAAAAAATTTCAACATCATACTTTTAAAAATTGATTTACAGCTCCTGAGAGAAAGCAAGAACCACTTCTAGAGAGAAAAATCCATCAAGAAGCTGGAATGTGTTTCATGAGAATCATTTTTATAGTTCCTCTACTCCTTCCTATGTACCCAATGACTATTTCCTGTTTCATTATTTTGACTCAGTTTCGACTGCAAGGCAGTGAGTCACATTCAAACCCTAGCTTGCCTTCAGCCATCTAAGTTCTTGTGAAGTAAGGAGTTCCTGAGCCACACAGGAGACTTGGGCTAGGGCAAAGGTCTGTTACAACCACAAGGGGGCAGCCTTTGGCAGCTCAGTGGCCGGGCCCATTCCCTCTAGGTAATCCAGGCTGCTGCCAGCATTATGTGACACCTGCTCTGGGCTAACCACCATGCAGAGTGACCAGTGCTGTGCAGAGCAGAGCTGACCCCGCCACTGTGCAGATCAGACATCCACCCGCATCCCTCACACTCCAATGGCACCACACGTTTTAAAGCTTTGAGACTGAGGTCAAATCCATTCATGTTATGTAAAGACCTGGGCATGGGAAGTTCTCTGCTGACGGGACCCTGGTCTGTCCTTACCCCCACTCTGCATTCTACCTCGGCTTCTCTCCCCAAATTCCTATCGTCTGACCCCTCTGCATCCCAACCCTCACTCAGACATGTTCCACCATCTCCCCTCCAGGGCCCTAACCCCACAGGAAAGGCCAAGAGCACAGCAAGGAGAGCCCAGGAGTCTTTGTTCAGTTCTTGGAAGGACAGCTGCTTGGCGCCCATCCAATGGCTTTCTCCCAGAGCACTTCCTCAGAATGGAATGTCAGTGGTGTTTCCTGTGGGTATTCAAAGTGCGTTAGGGTGGGGCATCCCCGGACGGCAAGAGAAGCAACCGGGTCAGAAGACACCTACGTGGTACGGAAGGTTGCACTGATGTGGTTTCCTACACTACGAGCTGCTCTGCTTTGTTAGCGCAGATGGCAAGCACTAACTACATCAGGACCAGGAAACCAAGACACGGTGGCACAGCATCTATAGTCAGGACACGTGAAAAAAGAATGCCCACAGGACAAGGGAGAGGCAGTGGGGGCTGGGAGGGAGGGCTGGTCAACTGCTGGCTCTCAACTCCACTTTCACTCCGGCTGTTACAAACCACACTTTTCAGAATCTCCCGTCAAGCCAGGTTCAGCCATGGAAAACCCAAAAGGAGGCCAGGAGATGCAGGACAGGGGAGTTGCTAGTCCTTATCAGAAGCTCCCACCTGCTGCTCCAAGTTGCGGTCACAGTCCCAGAACCTGGAGTACAGCCCAGGGCCCAGAGGTTCTGCTTCCAAGGGTGCCTCTGGCAGACACCACATCTAGCCCGACAGGAGGGAGCAGCCTACTGGCAATGCCCATCTCTGATGCCCACATACCCCTTATTGTACATCCTGCCTGTTCTTTCAATACTTGCTATATAAAGCAGTCCCTCTCTCATGCTGGACTAGCAGAGAGAGTCAGAGCCAAGCACAGGGAACTACAGATTCAGAGTAGAAAGGCACTGGGGCGATCTACACAGGTGAGGGGACTCTTACGGTGGCCCTTATGTCTTCCCATTAACCTAGACATCCCAGGTACACGAGAGCTAGCAAACCTCACGAGGTCACCTGCTCTCTAAGACTATCACCACACATGAAAATCTGCAGGTGGTGGCCCTGCAGGGGCTATGCCAGTCTACAGCCTCCTCCCCAACCCAGGCCATTACCCAAGTAGCCAGCACTATCCAGAGGCTTGGAACAGGAGAGCTTCCATCCCAGCACCACAGCACAACTCCAAAGAATTCTTTGTCTACAATATTAAGATGTACAAAAACATAGTTGCCACCCAAAGCTTCTGGAACCATTTACAGCTCTCGTCCAGCCCGTGCTCAGGCACACTACAGAGGGAAGGAATCCTCAGACTTCTTTAGGAAGTAAGAGGCTCTGCTCCCCCGCCCCACCTTGCCTTTGATGGGCAGTCACATCTCGTGCAGTGCCAGCAGGCTTCCCCAGAACACAATGGGGAAGGCCACACTGGGCGCCTGGTGACCAGAGCTGGCAAAGTGGCTGCTGTCTCCACTGATGAGCCATTCATCGGCCTTGACTGCATAGTCAGTGACGTCAGCAGGTCCCAGAACACAGTCAAGGCCAAGAAAGGGGAAGCTGGTCATCCATCTTCCAGGAACATCAAATGGGGTGATGATGTGGAGTTCACTGGTGTCTTCACCAGCACGGGCTCAGGTGAAGGGTGGCACCTCTGTGCTCTGCTGATGCCCTCATGTTTGTGATGAGCCTGGACCATAAGGAGAGTGACACCCCCCTCAAGATGGCCAGCAACGCTCGCTGCACCACCAGCAGCTTTGCTTTCCTGGCCAAGGTGATCCATGATGACACGAGCACAGTGGGGAAACTAGTCAACAGCTCAGAGGCCGCGCCCACCATCCCTACATCTGCTGGCACTGCCAAGGCCATGGGCAAGGTCATCTCTCAAGCTGACTAGGACATTCACTGGCATGGCCTTTGGTGTGCCCACCCCCAATGTGTTGGCCATGCACCTGACTGCCATGTGGGGCAGGGTTCTAAGTATGACAGCATCAAGAAAGCAGCAAAGCAGGCATCACAGGACCCCCTGAGGGGCACCCTGGGCTGCACCAAGGACAAATTTGTCTCCTGCAACTGTAACACTGACACCCCACTCCTCCTCCTTCTATGACCACTTGGTTAAGCTCATTTCTTGGGATAACAACGATGTGGCCACAGCAACAGGATGGTGGGCCTCCTGTTTCACATGGCCTCCTAAGAACTCAGGCCCTAGAGAGAGCACCAGGGAAAAAGGAGGCCTTTGGCTACTGGGGAATCCCTGCCCCAACCCAGTCCTCAACACACTGAGTATCCCCCCTTTCCAGATTCCATCCCAAACACCATGGTGGACCCTAACCTGTCATTTCGCTATTGAAAATGTCAGCTACATACAAAAACAGAACAAAAAGACACAGTACCATTGGTCAAACACTTGCAGCAGACTGCAAACTGACTTTCTGCTCGTTGCAAATGTTACTCCTGATTTTGAGAATTTTTATAACACAGCTTCAGGAAATGAGCAAGTCACATTTTCTACACTGTATAAAATCTCAAAAATCCTATCAAATCAGGTTCACTCGTTGTCATGACCTAGAAATAAAGGACTCATGTGAGCCAGTGTTGTGTAAAGCCATGGCCTGTGACACCATTATCTCATGTAAGCAACGGTTGGAGTCCCAGCTGCTTCCAGCTGGAGTTCCAGTTTCCAGATGCACCCAGGAAAGCAGCAGTAGATGGCCCAAGTCTTGGGCCCCTGCCACTCACTGGGAGACCCAGGTGGAGTTGCAGGTTCCTGGCTTCAGTGTGGCTGAGCCCTGGCCATTGTGGCCATTTAGGATGGAACCAAGCGAAGGGAGATCTCTCTCTCTCCCTCTTGCTCTGTAACTCTGCCTTTCAAATAGACAAAAATAAATCTTCAAAAACAAATGGCAGGCGTATTACCTTATCCCAAGAAGCAGTGAAATCTTGCACATGCACTATCATTTTATCATCTGAGGGCTGTTGAGTGCTGCGTTGCGATATCTCATCCAGGAGCAGGAAGTCCTGGGGAGAGGAGATACACAGACCTTTGAAACAGTGGAAACAGAAGCACACACCAAAAACCATGACTTCCATGGAAAGAACACTTTACATGACCCACAGACATTTTATCAACGAAACTGAAATATCAATTCATGCCGGAGCAAAATAAACAATGGCACACATTGCAGGGTACGTGACAAATAATGAACCACGAGGCAATGATCCTTACAACTTTCTCAGTATGTGGAGTGGTTCCTTCCTAAAGGGAAAGGCTGCTCACTGGAGCACCCAGCCCTTCCCACTGATTCACTGTCGTTACCAACAGCAGACACTGAATTGGTAGGAAATCATGGGGTAAATATTTACCGAAGCCCATGGCCTGCCAGCCCGTGCTCCATGCTAGGTGTGCATTTCCCGGCCTGCAGGAACTGAGCTGAGCCAGAAGGCGAGCGGGGAGAGGCCGACAGCAAAGCCTGAAGCAACGCTCTGGTCCTACCCAACATTCTTTGCCCTGTCTCCTGAACAGGCCTGTATTCAACTCTTTCTCCCCCGTTTGTGTGTCACTGCAAACTTGGTACTGACTTGAAAAAATATTCTCTGGAGAGTATGTGGCAGAATAGTTAAGACACCTGTTGGCACACCCACATTCCATAGTGCTCCAGGCCAGAGCTTCCTGCTGGAGTGCTCCTGTGAGGCAGCAGGTAATGGTTCACAGGCCTGGGTTCCTGTCACCTGAGGGAGGCCTGCACTCATTTGCAGGCTCTTGATTTCAAACCAATCCAGCCATAGCTGTGTGGGCCTTTCTCAAGTGAAGCTGTCCCTCTGTCAATGTCTGTACGAGTTTCTCTCTCTCTCTCTTTCTCTCCCTCTCCCCCACCTCAAGTAAAACTAAAATTAAAACATGAAGTTTAAAAAATAAAACAAAGTCCACAGAGTTGATTTTTATTTTAAAAAATAAAGCTAAGTCCAGAGTTTAGGCATGTCTCTATTGCAGGAAGTCTGTTTTCCCCATGGATGCCCTATGCTTCACCGCTGGAAGAGCCCTTTAGTTCTTGTGGTGTTTTCATGCTAGGTAGCAGCTACCCAAAGAACTTCGACTGTATTTTTAAAAGTCTAAAAAATCATTACAAATCTAACATAATGACATATGCAAAACCTCCTCTGGCTCCTCAAAGTTCACTGAGAAAAGCTGTAGTGGCACAGAAATGAAACCCACAACAGAGCGCACTCCCAATTCCCCAAATTTTGGATGACTGGCAGTCCTCTAAGTCTGATCTGAGCCTTCTAGAAGTGGCAATAAAACCCCCACTTCTTAGCAGGAGTACCCTGCTTCAAACCCGGCAACCTGGAATCACACTGCTTGCCCTGTTACCTAGCTAGGTGCGGCCACACGACCACAGGTCAGGCCATGGGAAGAGAACAACCAGGAACCTTTCTCCATTAATTCCCCTGTGCTTTGAAAGTTACTGTCTTGGTCAAGGTCAGGCAGCGAGAGCAGTTAGAAGCAAGGCTGATGTTGCAGCACGGCAGACAAAGCCACCACCTGTGACGCCAGCGTCCCATATGGGCTCCAGTTAGGCTTCTGGCTGCAAAGCTTCTGATCCAGCTCCCTGCCAATGTATCTGGGAAAGCAGTGCAAGATGGCCCAAGCGCATGGGCCCCAACACCCACATGAAAGACCAGGAGGAAAACCTCGACTCTGGCTTCAGCCTTGTCCTGCGCCGGTCATTGTGGACATTTGGGGTGTGAGCCCGAAGATGGAAGATCCCAACCCCTACCCCACATCTGCCATTAATATTAAAAGAAGAAGAGAAAGGGAGGTGCATCCCACTGGCTCTGGAATTTAAAAATTTAAAACCATGTCCCCCTGCTCCAGCATCAACGTGTGCCCTATGCAGCTTAGGCAATAGGACCTAATGGCCAGTGCGAGGATGCTAAGAGGTGTGACTTCATCCCACTCTACCCTCGTGAGTGGAGTACCTGCCCTTGGAAAATCCACTGCAGGGAGAATGTTGCCCCCTGCGCCACCACAGGGCACAGTGCTGGCTCCAGCTGTAAATGAGGAAGTGCGCTTTGCCAGACCCTGAATCCACTGGTGCTCCCGTCCTGTACGGCAGAGCCTCTGGAATTGTGAGAAATGAACTTATTTCCTTTGTGCAATACCCACTTGGTGGCATTTTGTCAGAGTAGCACAAAGAAGCAAGAAACCTCTGAAAACATACCTTGAAGCCCTAACCCAGGGCCTTGACACGTGACTTTATGTGGAAAGAGGGTTATGGCAGGGGCCTATGCAGTGGCGTGGCAGGTAAAGCTGCCACCTGTAGCACCTAAATCCTGGCTGTTCCATCCCAGATCCAGCTCCCCACTAACGGCCCCAGGAAAGCAGCAGAGAATGGCCAACATGCTTTGGACCTTACACCCATGTAGGAGACCTAGAAGAAATTGCTGGCTCCTGGCTTCCAACAGGCCCAATCCTGGTTGTTGCAACTATCTGGGGAGGGAACCAGTGTACGGAAGGTCTTTGTCTCTAGCTCTCCCTCTGTGTGTGTGTGTGTGTGTGTGTGTGTGTGTGTGTGTGTGTGTGTGTTAACTCTGCCTTTGGAATGAGTGAAATCTTTAAAAAAAAAGAAGTAGATAGGTGAGGAGAGACAAAAACCAGCTCACAGGTGGAAAACAGCCGCGTGATGACGCAGCCAGGCACAGCAGGGCCATGACTACACAAGTGCAGGCGTACCACTTCTAGCCCGGGTCTTTGGTGGATGGTGAGTGAGGCAAGGCAGAACCCTCCTCCAAGCTTGCCAAGAGAGTGTGGCCCTGCTGACACCTCTCTCCCGGGCCTAGCAGCCCTCAGAACTAAGGACAGTACTACTGTTGTCAGCCACCTGGATTATGGCACCATCAGCCTGGGGAAAACTCACCATCCACAACTGTATGAAAATGACCTGCCTGTGTAAGTCACAACACCACGGACTACTTTACACCAAGCCCTGATAACGAGGGCAAGCAAGGGAAATCAGTACCTGAATGAGTTAGAGAGTGTGTTATCATCACTCAAGGCAACAGCTACCGGGAACCCTGCAGACAAGCCTGTGAGTCTTTCCAGTTCCTGGCTCTCATCCCACAAGGTTCCAAACTGGATGGAAATGGCTGACTTCAAAAGACAAACTGGCAAAATCCGGAAAAAGAAAATTTTCTCCGGTGAAGACAAAGGCAGATGCGCTGCTATACACAGCAAAGGAGTCGGCCCTTCTGCATTCCCACCCTTGCCATGCAGCTTCCCAATGCGCTCCCGGGACCAGGCACCACCATCTCTCCCTGCACGGGCCTGGGGCCGGCAAGAGGGAGGTAGACAGACAGGCCCTAGGGCAGAAGGCTCCCCTGCAGGACTCACTGCAGCCTCTCCAACTTCTCTCCAATGCATTTCTCTGACAGACTGTGTCTTGCCTATTCTGCCACAATTCACCTTTCTCCACTCCTTTTGTAAAAGTTCAGTCTCAGGAGCTCCCAGACCAGCCAGTGTGTAGAAATGCTGGTGTCTGTTTTTCACTGGTGTTCCTGGCAGTCCCAGCACCTCTGAGCCTGCCCCAAGTACCCCTCCTGTAAGATCTTTTGAAAACACCAATGCTCTTCCAAAGAGCAGTGGAAATCCTGCTGGGGCTCCCTGGCACCTACACACCCATTGCCCAAGTGGCCTCAGCCTCCATCCCCTGACCATAAATCCCACCCTAGCCTCCAGGGCCTGTGTCTTCTGGAGAGAATCCTGCTGGGAACCAGTTGAGGATGGGTTGCAGTTGGCACTGACAAGGAGGTTACACAGGCAGACTCCACAGCAATGAGAATGCACACCCCTCCCCCATGCCATGGCTGGCGCTTCATCAACCCACATGACTTGAGTGTACACACAGACCACAGTTAGTACAAATAGGTCCAGCCAGTAACCATGCCACCGCAGCCTGGCACGGAAGCCAAAGGTTTTCTATGTTACAACACATATTTGGCTCTTCTCTTTTGCCTAGGCGCAAGACGAAGACTTGTCCACAAAGATTAAATCTGAGAGAAGCAAGAAGATGCCATCTCACAGTGAGTTAAATGAGACTCTACTCGATGCACAAACAGCTTACAAAGGTGCCAGAAGCATTGATAGGATTTGTCTGTAATGCTCACGCGGGTAAGAAAAGCTGAGTTTAAATTGCCATTATGGCCCTACAGGACAGTTCCAGAACAGGTCACAGGGGAAGCACCAGATACCAGAAGTGGAGCCAGAAAGTCTGACATCCGAGGGGCTTTTCGGGACAGCGCAAGCAGTTCTGCGGGCAGCGTAACCTCAGGGACCCATGTGACTGCTGCAGGCACCACGCAGACGATCAGCAAGCTGACGTCAATCAAGATCTCTTATAATCCAACCGGGCCTGCCTGCTGCCAAGACCACTGGTCCCTTTCTGCCTCAGAGGAAAAAGAGGGAATTCTCGGGTCCCGGACTTCATCATAAACCCTGCTTTCTTCCAGACATGAAGAAAGGCAGAATGCACAGCCCACAGCCCACGTACAGGTCTACACCTGGGTATGGACCACACCCAGCAGCATCTCAGGGGCACAAGTGTATCCCTGATGTGCTTGCCGGAATCCCCCAAATGACCACGCTGCAGATTGCCCCAGCTAGCCCCAGGCACCAAGGGCCAGGTTACAGAGCAGTGGGTCAAGCACACACTGCTCTCCAGACTCGCCATGCCCACCAGGCTCCCAGCCTCGCTGTGGCACGCAGCACCTTCCTCCCACCACCCAGCCAGCACTCCGGCTTCCCCTCCTGCTGCTGTTCTTGCCCTCTCTAATTGCTTGTGAACACATTTAAGTGAAAAGCAGAGAAGGTGGGCACTGAATTGTCAACCCCATTTAGTGCCCACCGCTTTGCTGGATAAACGGGCTGAACAAGGCAGATGAGGGTCTCCAAGGTTGTCAGAGTGAACACCTGAGCTTTGCGGCAGCCTCTCAGACCCCAAGCTGGCCCTTGGAAAGTTCGCCCTGACTTGCCAAACTCAGGTGGATGTCCAGTGTCCCCCTCTTCCCCCAAAATTCCTGGCTTCCTCCTCTGATCTGACCTCTCCCCTCCTGCTGATCCCCACTTGCCATGTGCTCCCCGATTCTCTGCATGTTCTTCCTGAGCTACTTGTTCCAGAACACTTCGACCCATCCTCCCACCTCCTACTCCTGCCAGTCTGTTTCCTAGGCAGCAGCCAGGGTGCACTGCGAAAAAAGCTAAAATCCTTAATACTGTCTGTTGAGTCTTAGTGCGGGGTCTTCAGAAATATCACCAAAATGCATAGAAAAACTATGTATGGATTTCAAAGGTTTTTGTTTAAATGCCAAAATAAACCTATACACACACACACCAAGTTTACTGGAAAAGTGGGAAGACACAGAGTCAGAGCTAGGATTGGACAAAGATGCCCCAAGCATCTGCGGTGGCTGTGGCTGGGCAAGACACAAGCCATGAACCCAGAGCTCAGTCAGGGTCTCCCACAAGGGCGGCAGAGCTCCAAGTACTTGGACTGTCATCTACTGCCTACTAGGGTACACACTAGCTTGAAACCAGAACTGAAGAGGAGCCAGGATTTGAACCCAGGTATCCCCATCAGGATGCAGGCATCTGAAACAGGATGCTGGCATTTCAAGTAGCATCTTAATCACAGCAACAACAGCCACCTCTAAACTTACCTTTTCGTCCCCCCCTCCCCTACCCCAAACTGTTTGAAATAACTTCCTATAGTTCCCTATTGGGGCCTCTAGTTACCTCTATTCAATAGCCACAGACATTTTTGGTTCCTCAAACACACAGCTGTCCAGGTGTACTGCTGAGAGCTCTTGTCACACACTCATTTCATTGGAAATGGAACACGCCCTGCCTTGCCCATCCACCTGCCCTCCGGGTCACTTCTCCAGCCTTTGCAGAAGCACAGCCTCCACCACAGCATCAGCATCTCTGCCCAAGCACTTGGTGTTACCTAGCACTTTGCCTTCCAAGGGCCATAACAGCTCAGCTCACAGCCAACAGCCAGCCTTGTAATGGGATTGTCATTTGACTGCACCCCCGACAATACAATGACTGCAAGCCACAAGGACTGTGCCATTGTCTACCACACAGCATCTATCACGGCTCAGCTTAACTGAGCTGCCCAGTTATTTTATCCATCACATGAGTAAATGAATCAGCTATAAACCTGCCGACGCATTCTATCCTCCCATGCGAGGGTTAGATTTCCAGCAGTATACCTTCAGCCACACAAGACCACATACCAAGGCACCAACAACACCTAATGATCAGAATGTCCAGGTAGGGCGACCATGTAGTTCTAATAAGCGCCTTGCTGATGCTGATGAACTTTTAAATGAGCTGTAAGAGTCTGCTGGATTAAAAAAGAATAACAACAACAAAAAAGGCAAGAATCTAGAAGAAAAATAATTCCATGCATGGGGCCTCGAACAGCACACTAACAGCAACAGGTTGATTCTCTGTCCTTTCTTTCTTACCTGCTGCTGAACAGACTCTAAGTTCCTGGGCCCACCGTCCTGTCAGAGGCCCTGTGCACAGGAGGGGAAGTTGAGCTGCCCTGCCCAAATGCAAGATGCTTCCTTTGTTTGTTTGCAGAGCACCCAGGGGACATCAGCCAAGAGAAAAGGAAAAGTAGTCAGCAGCTCTTACTGTACCCTCAGACACAAGTTCAGCTATATGTTGGTGTTAATGTCAAAATCTTAAAGACACTGCCTACCCACACGTTAGAGCACGGTTCCTGGAACCTGTCTGCAGGAACCTGCTCCCCACCACATTCCGAGGCCCGATGCAAACACACCAGAGTAGCAGAGTTGCCACTTTCAGCTCAACAGTGCTCCTCGCTGAGACGTCTGCAGACTTCCCCAGACACGACAGGCCTGCAAGTTTCCTTCAGGTGCACAGGCTTTACACACCTGCTATCCTTAGGGAACACAGAGGGGAACCAGGCACTACATCTGCCCTTGAGAAATCCAAGATTTAGAGAGAAAGAAATCTAGTAGCAGGTGGCTCCAATACCAAGGGTCAAAGGCTGTAAGGTCCAATGCAGGGATCCCAAAAGAGGAGATGGGGAGTGAACCACCGTGTGGTCACTAATTCATGTATCTGCTTGGCCAGGCCCCAGGGCCTGCTCTGGTTAGACACGTCTGGATATCAAAGACTATTTCAGATGACATGACCATTTAAATCAGGAGAATTTGCACCAGGCAGATTGCTCTACTAGATCTAAGTGGGTTGTGTCCAACCAGGAGAAAGCCTTGAGAAAAAGAAAAAAAAGATTGATACACAGGACAAGAGGTTGGAAAGGAGGAAGAAGAAGGAAGAGAAGGAGGATATGGGGAGAATTTTGCCCCAAATCGGAAGCTACAACATCAGCGCTTTCCTGAGCTCCAGTGTGGTATCTGCCCCACAGATTTCAGACTTCGGGCTTGCTACCTCCACATGAGATGAGATGACAACACACACACACCCCAGCAACACAAGTCAGCTACAGTAGCAGTAACAGCAACAGTAACAGAGTTAAAACAGCACAACATACTGCAAGCCACCCTCTATGCAGGCACAGTGTGCACTTAAAACATCATTAGGGCCACACTATGTTCCTAACTGAATTCTTTAAAGATGTGCATGTATCACCCCTAACTATGCTGGGTCAAGCTGCCGTCAGAAACCATCACACTGGGGCACCAAAACTCACCCCATAGGACATATCAGGCTTATGCATGATTTTTATATACACAACAGAAATTTCATCATTAACAAAATCTGCCTTAAGATAAGGTCAAAATAAAAAAAAAAATGGGGAACCATACAAATTTTCAGATCAGCTGCTGCAAACTGTTTTACGATTGACAGCCAGAAAGCAAAATGTGTGGACTTCTTTAAGGCTCAGACAGCAAGGCCCTCTCCAGGAGCCAGCTCCTCACATCAGATCCATTCACCAGTACAAATACTTGGGAACCTATTAGGAGCCAAGCCCTTATCAATTTATTTGCCCCTAGCAATTTAGGGAGAGCTACTTATGAAAAAGTTAAAAGGCTTGTTAAATACAGAATCATCCACATTCAGCCAAGGCATAAAGAAGACACGGAAGAACGGGCAGGCAACCAGAGAGGCATAGCCAAAAATCCACATGTAAAGCAAATATGGAACATTTTAAAAGCATTAGCTTTTAGGCAGAGAGAGAGAGAGAGAAAGATCTTTCATCTACTTCACTCCCCAAATGCATACAACAGTCAGAGCTGAGCCGAGCAGATGCCAGGAGCCCAGAGGTCCATTTGGGCCTCCCATCTAGGTCTGCCTGAGCAGGGCCATCCATCCCCAACTGCTGCCCAGGATGCATGAGCAGGAAGCTGGGCTGGAAACAGCAGCTAGGACTTGACAGGGCACTCTGGCAGGGGATGCAGGCTTCCTGAGTGGTGGCTCGATCGGCTGCACTACAACGCCAGCACTGAGAATCTGATTTTCAACAAGGATAATAACTAGGTGAGGTTGGAGCCAACCTGCCCATCTAAGCAAGCTCTTCTCTTCCCAGTACAAAGGGAATCCACTGCACTCATAAAGTTTGCACAGGAGATGGAATCTGTTCCTGGGCTTCACCACACCTGCAGTTGTTTCTTACCGACACAGAGGGCCCTGGCCCCATGCATGATCACAGTGTGTGTTATTTCAGGACACCCTCTCTAAGACGGGGCGGCACACAGCCCATCTGGTACTGATGGAGTTCCCCCTCTCTGGGACACAGGGACACCTAGCCGTTGGAAGTCTCCTCTCACTGAGGAGCCATCCACAACACTCCCCACCACGTCGCACCAGACCTTGATTCTCCGAATGCTGACAATTGACTCAGAGACTTTCTCAACAGCTGACGGGAAGAACAGCGTGACGGTCAGCCGCACAGCCCCATACAGTGATACAGCCACAAACACGCGGCTGGCTGTGATGACATTGCCAAGCAGTACGTAGGTTGTGAAGGTCACAAACACGATGATCTTGCTTGCGACGAAAAACGAGGCCAAATTCATCCCTCTGAGGTAGGAACTGCTCAGAATTTTGGAAATCTCCTTCCTGGAAAAACGAACAGGAGCTCTGAAGGCAGTGTTGACACAAAGTCACAAATCCACATGCCTCTGGCACAAGGCTGCTCTCCAGATTAAAACAAACAGTGAAAAAACTGCTGCATATCAAATAGTATTAGGCATGCTGGGGTAAAATGCTCACTGTCACAATGTCACATTTTGGGTCCAGACTGGGCTTCAGCAAGCATCAAAACTGATTCACTCAACAGGTATTCATGGGACCAGCACTATGGCATAGCAAGTTAAGCCCCTGCCTGTGGGGCCAGCATTCCAAATGGAGGCTGGTTCAAGTCCCGGCTGCCCACTTTTGACCTGGTTCCCTGCTAATGTGCTTGGGAAAGCAGCAGAGAATGGTCCAAGTCCTTGGGCCCCTATGCCCAGATGGGAGACCAGGGGGAGACTCCTGATTCCCAGGTTCAACCTTGGACCACTGCAGCCATTTGGAGAGTAATGAAACAGATGGAAGATTCCTCTTGTTCTGTGTCCCCTCCTCTCTCTGTAATTCTTAAAATGCAAAATAAATAAATCTTTTTAAAAAAAGGGTTTTTTAAAAAATAATAAGCATTCATAAACAAGCCTCATACAGAGTACCTCTCTGATGGCAGAAAGATACGGGTGACACGGGCTGCAGATGGAGTTTCTTCATGGAAGAAGAAAAAGGCAACCTCAGAAGTGAGAGATCCCAAGACCCTAGATGGGAGGTGCCAAGCACAGTGCCCACTGGGAGCAGCAGAAGAGCAGGGCAAGTACAAGTGCTGGCATCAGGGAGGGTCATTGGTTGGCAATGGCCAGAGGGCATCGAAACAAAAGGAGAGGCCTGAGCAGGTGCAAAGATGAGGCGTGCCAGGTGGCAGGTGCTGGGGCACAAAAGGTAATAAAATATTTCAATCAAAAGCCAATTTTACCTATCAGTGGAACCGTAACTAATACCATGGCTGCTTGGCCCATTACAGGTTTGCCCCATCTCTGTAAACTTCCCATGGACATAATCACGGTTTCTCTTTGAAGGCTATACATTGTCAAATATTAACAGAATCATGAGTTATTCAGAAACACTTAGAATTTCACTTTCATTTTAGTCATAAAACAGGTACACTCTTTTTGTTTTGTTTAAGAAAGAGGAATCCCAAGTTCAAATAGTGTCCTAGCCCAGTGTATTTAAACCTGCAGGGCTCACCCTCATGAAAACACATTGAAATTTTTCAAAAACTGATTCTGGACAAAATGGGAAGTAGAAAAAAAAAGCAGACATTGGGCCATGCCATTCACAGAAACGTACCTTCTCATTCTGGTAATAAGATCTGCAAATGACTTTTCCCAAGCATACATTTTGATGATCCTGATGCCCGTTATAACTTCATTCATCGTCCTGATCCTGACATCGGTGAAGGTTGCGGTCTTACTCCTAAGGGGGACAGGTGGGAGAGATGAGCTGGCACTCCACAACAGGCGCAGGCACGACCCACCATCCATTGACGGCCTGCAGCTCCTCTGCTCTGACAACACAGCTTATCCCAACTCAATATGAACTGGCAGTACTACCGAGGAAGATGTAGTGATGAAGCAGGTACAGTCGCCTCCTTGAAGGAGCTGCCACATGGGTGGAGAAGGCAACAGGGTGCTGGGATGTGATCCTAACTACACAAGCAGAGGTGATGTAGGGCAGGAGTGCAAGGGCTGCTAATCCCATCAGACGAGGAAAGAGCAAGGCAGGCCTCACCACACCAGTCTGCAAGGACAGGGACCATCCCTCCTGATGGCAAAGAAGAAACAGCAAACTCCAGGTGTGAAAACACCGAAGGCAGCAAAGCAAAATCCAACAGCCCCTACATCTCTGGAAGTCTTTGACAGTAACTCGCTTCCAGTTCTTTAGCACCTGTTTAGGTCTGAGTCACTGTGTCACCACTAAACTCTTCATCAACAGGCATCTTGCTACCATGGACATGGTGAGCACTGCAGAACTTTCTAAAGATGTCCCCCAAGATTGACCTGCCCTGGGGAGCTCATAACATACTGGGAACATTGAATTAAAAACAACACACACACACATATACACACAGGCAACAGCTCAAGCACAAACATAGCAAAACTTTATGCAGTAAGAATTGGGTCTAGTCACATGAACCAGAGCTGGGGGACGGTCCCATGGGGGTTACTAGGAGTCCTCTGACTAGGCTGCAGCTCCCCTTGTTGTGTGGTGTGCAGAGCTGGCCTTTGTTGCAGCACCCATTGGTTTGTAGAGGAAGGAGGGTAGAACAAATTGATCAACTACCCCAGCAAAGTTTGACAGCAAATGTCTGGGAGGTGGAGACTCGGAGGTGGACTATGTCAGCCTATTTGACCTTGGAAGGATTTCCTCATCCTTGGAGCAGTGATATCAACAGTATCTTAGAACTGTCAAAATCACACGAGCAGAACCCTCAGAACGTGCTCCACAATGGGGACCCTGGGACGACATCAGGTGGTTACTGGGCACTGAGGCTACTGGGAGGCTAGGTATGGTTTCTCCCCTTGATACAGGAATAAGAAAAAGAAATTCTGTGAACAATGGTCTCACCCACTTTCCCCTGATTCTCAACTCTTCCCATCCTGATCAACTATGGAAACATCACCAAAAACAAATTAAAAAAAAAATTGGAGTTAACCTTATGCTGTAGCAGGCAGACCGACCTAAAAACAGCATCGCACGTAAATGCCAGTTTGTGTCCTGGCTGCTCCACCTCTAATCCAGCTCCCTGCTAACGGCCTGAGAAAGCAGAAGATGGACCCGGTGTTTGGGATCTGCCACCCAAGTAGAAGACCAAGATGAAGCTCCTGGCTCGTGCTTTCAGCCTGGTCCAGCCCCAAACAATGTGGCTATCTGGTGAGTGAACTAGTGAACAAAAGATCCCTCTCTCTCTCTTAAAATTTTAAAATCTGTAAAGAAATTGGGCCTATGAAATATTTCAATTGATGCAATGAGTGTTGAGACATAATTCGTTAAAGCACAGCATCCCATATGAGTGCCACTTCAAATCTCAGCTACGCTGCTTCCAGAGCAGCATCTCCTGACACCTGGAGAGCAGCAAAGGTTCACGTACTTGGGTTCCTGTCACCAAACTGGGGACCCCGATGGACTTCCTGACTCCCAGCTTTAGCCCAGCCCAGCCCTGTCTGCTGCATGCATTTCAGGGGCTTTAAAATGAGTTTTCTGAATTCTGTATCCCCCCACATTCTGTTAACTCTGAGGTTGGCAAAGGCTTTTGCTCCTTTGCAGGGGAATCTTCAGTACTATTCATTTTGCCTTTGTCTCTTCTTTTGCTCTTGGTCATTGTACTTCTGGTTAGCAGAGTCTTCTCCATGGGGTAGGTTTCTAAGCTGTGTCACCCACAGGTCTATAGTGCAATTTTACTTCTTGCAGTTGGTACACAGCTCTTTGCTTGCAGCCACTTGTGCCACTCTCTCCAGCGAGTTCCAGGTCTGGGTTCTTATGTTACATTTCCACCATGGTCTCCTGAGCTCCAGCTCCTGGCTCACCAGTCTCTACCTCCTATGATACCGTGCTGAGGTTGCACCGTTGTCTCTGCAACATTTCTCCCACTTTCAGTTGGAGCAGGTCCCAGGATTAGGGAGATACCAGACCAGGTGTCCTGTATAGCTAGGTTGTTGGTGGAACCTGTTGCCGGAACCTGTTGGCCATTGGGTCTGAGGGCCACATGGACCTATTTTGAGTCATACAATTCCATAGTCAGTATTATTTGCCCGTGGGGCCAGTGCAATCCACTGAATTCAGGGAGTTCTCATGGAGCTCAGCACATGTGCAGTTCACTGTTGTCCCCTGCAGTCCTAAAGCTGTTGCCACAGTGTACAAAAAATGGTGCCTGATGTACCACTACTAGAGCTCTTGATCTGTTGGCAGTCAGGTCTGAGTGTTACCCAGACCTGTGTTGGGTGGAACCTGTAGGATGCCATGTTGGTGCAGTTCACTCAGCCAGAAATGAGTTCACTCCCAGCTTAGTGTATGCTCAGTCCTTTCCCTTGCCTTTGCCTTCTTACGCAAAATGGCACCTGATTCAGCTATAGGGGCCTGACTGGGCTGTGAAATCCACTCTGTTCTCGCACTGCCCATCTGAGATCTCCTGCTCTGTCTCTGCTCCTGGTCAAATCAAACAGCCTGGCAGGACGAGCAGTTCATTGTCTGGTTCACCACCTGAGCTCCCAGTGAATGTCCCTTCCCACCTGGTTGCTGGTGGAGTTTCAGTTGCTGGTGGAGTTCAGATCACTGTTAGCTGAACGCTGCTGGAGTATCAGTCACTGCAACACCACACCGTTGTGTCCACTGCTTTCCTGTGTCTATCAGCCTCCAGGTACCCCTCTGCTGTTGTTCTGTCCTCTCCTATTTCCTGGAATGTATCCTCTCTGCTTCATCCTGATTAAGTGTTTTTCCGTCCGTTTAAACGTGTCCTTACCCTATTCCGCCATCTTGATTCCCTGCTGCATGCATTTCAAGAGCAAACCAGTGGCTGACGAAGATCTCTCTCCTCAACCCTCCCTCTCTACTACTTTACCTTTGAACAAATAAATCTTTAAAATACATCTCAGTCTATGACTATATAATACACACTTAAATAATGTGCCCAGATGTAAATTGTGTTAAAGATACTCTACAGAGGGGTTCCAATGCCTAAAAAAGCGGACTGCAGCAGCCAGCAAATACTTTGACCTTTCCCTCTTCGAGATGAGCCTTAAGCTGAAGGCTGGAGCCCCCACTGGATAAGCCTGAGGAGCCTGTGACATATGCAAAGAAGTGATAATAAAAACCATTTGTTCCTGAGTAAAAGCACCAGGCTGATGAGGGCTGTTTGCAAATCACACGGGATCCATTTGCTTGCACCCAGTCTCTCTTACCGCAGGGACGAGAACAGCTTCCCGATGCAACTCTGCAAGGGCAGGAGGATGAGCAGGACCGCCATCCCGGCAAGGCAGGAGACTCCTATCTCCATCCAGAGCAGGGCAGTCACTGCGACAGCCTGCAGTGGTCCTGCCCATAAAAAGTGCAGAAAGATTGTCACCTTCAAAGGAAAAGACAAAGTGTTCTTAGGCCTAGTTAGTGGCAAAACCCGTGACACCATGGGACAGAAACAGCCTGCTATGGACCAACACACAAGACCCTGTCAAGAGTACGATGGGTTTTCCACCTGCTAGGATAAACAACTAAGAATCCTCTGCAGCTGAAGCTGCCCAGGGGCCACAGAGGGCCAACTTCAGTCACCTGTGCTAGAAGGTAGTTGGGAGCATGCCCAACTCACAGTTGGGACAAGGCCTTCCCAGAGCTCTCTCTGCTACACTGCTCAGTCCCTACCTCTGCTGCAGCCACTCAGCACCCAGAAAAGCCTGCATTATGGTGCCCACTGCACTCTCCAGTAACTTCTTATATGCTTGTATGCAAGTATCTATTTCCCAGGCTGGCTTCCAGATTCTTCAGGGCAGAAGTCTTAGTCCTCCCTGACCCTGAGTGGAGCAGAAAGAATATATTTTGATGAGATTTTTTGATGAGAGGATACCTGAACAGAAGTGGTCCTGGTACAAGGTAGATCTGTTCAGCAGCTAGGAAGCACAAGATGACCAAACTTCCAGAAGCAAAGTGTAAAAGATGGGTACAGGGCCTGGCTCAATAGCCTAGTGACTAAATCCACTGGGATTCCACATGAACACTGGTTCATGTCCTGGCTGCTCCACTCCCCATCCAGCTCCCTGATTGTGGCCTGGGAAAGCAGTAGAAGATGGTCCAAAGCCTTGGGATCCTGCACCTGCATTGGAGACCCAGAAAAAGCTCCTGCTTTTAGATTGGCTCAGCTCTGGTCATTGTTGCGACTTTGGGAGTAGACCAGTGGACGGAGGATCTTTGTCTCTCCTTCTCTCTGCATATCTGCCTTTCCAAAAATAAATAAGTCATTTAAAGAAAAAGCTGGGTATAGCAGGATAATGAAGAGTTGGCTATTTCTGCTAGGCACCTGCATTATTGGGGTTTAGTAATAAGTTGATATTATTTATCAAAGGGTTCCTATGGACTGGATACTGTTCTGGGCACAGGGAAAGGTAATGTCCCTACAACAGAGCTAACCTCTAGAAACTCAGTCACAATTGCATGGCCATGGGTTGAGAGCTAAAAAGGGCAATCAAGGCAAAAAAAAAAAAAAAAAAGGGCAACTTTCAACTATGGTGTGCCTTAAATGCTATGCCCTGCCTATGATTGCAAAATTCAAAGTTACAGGATGAATAGCTACAAGAGGTCCTCAGAAAAGTCCATGGAAAATGAGTATTACAGGAAAACCATCCACAGATTTCAAGTATTTTTGTGCTAAAGTAAATTTATGTTTTAATTTCATTTTCCAGAACTATGTGAGGCACTCTCATACTACTGTAACTACGTTTTACACAGGAGAAGTGAAATTTGGGTTAAACAGATCCTCATCTTAAGTCCTCAACAAAATCTAGGCCTACATCAAAACCCACATTTCAAGAGGTTAAGCATAAAAACAGATATGCAACTTACCTGATCAAACTTGTTCACATCATTGGACAACAGGTTGACTATCTGGCCTGTGGTTGTCTTCCCCATAGCCATGTTACTAAGACGAAGTGCCTGAAATCAAAGAGAAGAACACAGAATTACATTTCCAACATGCTTATTAAGTCACACTTGAACACACTTGTGTGAAGACCAGGATGACTGCCAACAACAGCCGTAAGCATGGGCAAAAGCAGCCATGGCCTGCAAAGACAGAAGAAGAAAAAATGGAAAAGGAAAAAAAACCCACCTCACTGATAATCCATTTTATTTCTTGAAAAACTGGCCAAGACACACAGATTTCTGACCCATCCATATACTCCCCAAAGGATTCTAACAGCCAAGGCTGAGCCAATACGAAGCCCAGGAGCTAGGGAACTCCATGTGGGTCTCCCATGTGGGTCTCAGGGACCCCTATACCTGAGCCATCACTTCCATGAGCAGGAAGCTGGACCAGAGACAGAGTAGTTGGGATGCATCCATGTATTACCAGCCAAACCAAACAGCTACCACACTGCCTCTGCGCACTTTTTCATGAAATTGGACATGCACACACACAACAGGATATGAGTTTATACTTAACAGTCAACTAAAGTAATTGTAAGTCAATTTAGATAATGACAGAAAGGTTGTCAATGGAAAAGGGGTTATCAAAGGAAGAAAAATTGGCAAATGGTCTTGGATTATTAATCTGGAATCAACTAATAATTTTCCACATGTTTTCCTTTAAACATCTGTCATCTTAATTTCCTCATTCTGTGAATAAAAACGAGAGTGAAACGACAAGTATTTACTGAGTTTCTAGAAGGTGGAAGATTTCAGGCACCCCAGGAGATACACTGACAAATGATCCTGTTTTCTTTACTTGAAAGACAAGAACACAAGCACCAGTGATTCAGGTGTGAATGGGACAGCAGCTTGAGACATATTCTTTTAATTTTTCTTTACTGTGGAAGGATTTTATTTCATTTTCAAAGAAAGGTTAAGTTTTGCTGAGTACGTTTTCCTGGGCCAATGATTTTTTGCTTTAAGAACATGTCGCCCCTGTACAGTTTCCTGTGAGAGGTCAGCTGTGAGTCTGATTGGCACTCCTCTATATGTCAATTGCTTTTTTCCTGTGCATATTTAAGGATCTTTTCCTTATGTTTGACTGAAGAGAGCTTGATTATCATGTGTCGTGGTGAAGATCGCTTTTAGTCAACCCTGCTGGGAGCTCTGTGCTCCTCCTGGATGTTGTTTCCCAATTCCTTCTCCAGATTAGGGAAATCTTCCCTTATTATTTCACTGAATACACCTTTAATCCCAATTTCTCTGTCTGCACCTTCTGAGACTCCCATAACTCTTATATGTGGCCTTTTAATGGTGTTTTTCAATTCTTGAATACTTTTTATTAGCTTGATCGAGCTCTGCTTCCAGCTTTTTGTTTCTTTCCCCTGGTGACGAGAAATATCTTCCAATTCTAAGATACTTTCTTCTGTCTCCTTCATTCTATTTTGGAGACTCTCCACTGTACTTTTAGTTTGCTCCACTGGATTCTTCATTTCTGATAGATCAGCTTTCATTTGATTCATTTCCAGTGCGACATATTGCTTAAATCCCTTGAACATCTGATTTAAGAGCTTCTCATTGTTAATAAGAAGCTTATAAAAGTGTTTCAAATTCTTATCCTCCATTTTCTCAATGTCTTCCTCAGTTAACTCTGAGGTTGGCAAAGGCTTTTGCTCCTTTGCAGGGGAATCTTCAGTACTATTCATTTTGCCTTTGTCTCTTCTTTTGCTCTTGGTCATTGTACTTCTGGTTAGCAGAGTCTTCTCCATGGGGTAGGTTTCTAAGCTGCGCCACCCACAGGTCTATAGTGCAATTTTACTTCTTGCAGTTGGTACACAGCTCTTTGCTTGCAGCCACTTGTGCCACTCTCTCCAGCGAGTTCCAGGTCTGGGTTCTTATGTTACATTTCCACCATGGTCTCCTGAGCTCCAGCTCCTGGCTCACCAGTCTCTACCTCCTATGATACCGTGCTGAGGTTGCACCGTTGTCTCTGCAACATTTCTCCCACTTTCAGTTGGAGCAGGTCCCAGGATTAGGGAGATACCAGACCAGGTGTCCTGTATAGCTAGGTTGTTGGTGGAACCTGTTGCCGGAACCTGTTGGCCATTGGGTCTGAGGGCCACATGGACCTATTTTGAGTCATACAATTCCATAGTCAGTATTATTTGCCCGTGGGGCCAGTGCAATCCACTGAATTCAGGGAGTTCTCATGGAGCTCAGCACATGTACAGTTCACTGTTGTCCCCTGCAGTCCTAAAGCTGTTACCACAATGTACAAAAAATGGTGCCTGATGTACCACTACTAGAGCTCTTGATCTGTTGGCAGTCAGGTCTGAGTGTTACCCAGACCTGTGTTGGGTGGAACCTGTAGGATGCCACGTTGGTGCAGTTCACTCAGCCAGAAATGAGTTCACTCCCAGCTCAGTGCAAGCACAGTCCTGTTCCTTAGCCCTTGGCTCCTTAAACAAAATGGCACCTGATTCAGCTCTAGGGGATAGACTAGGCTATGAAATCAACCTTGCTCCCACACTGCCCATCTGAGATCTGCTGCTCTGTCTCTGCTCCTGGTCAAATCAAACAGCCTGGCAGGACGAGCAGTTCATTGTCTGGATTCACCTCCCAAGGTCCGTGAATGTCCCTTCCCACCTGGTTGCTGGTGGAGTTTCGGCTGCCAGTGGAGTTCACATTGCCGCTCACTGAACGCTGCTGGAGTATCAGTCACTGCAACATCACACCATTGTGTCCACTGCTTTCCTGTGTCTATCAGTCTCCAGGTACCCCTCTGCTGTTGTTCAGTCCTCTCCCATTTCCTGGAATGTGCCTTCTCCGCTTCATACGGGTTAAGGTTTCTCTGTCTGTTTAAGCATTATTTTTATTTGTCTATTTTTATTTTCAGAGACAAGGGTTCAGAAAGAGAAGCTGACAGACATGTAAGATAGTCTAGCCATCAAATGTTCACAACAAATAGGGACTGGGCCAGACTGAAGCCCAGAGCTCAAATCAGATCTCCCATATGGATAGCAAGAGCCTAACTACTTAATCTATCACCAGTTGCCTTCCACAATATGCAATAGTGATAATCTAGAATCAGAAGTGGAACCAGGACTCAAAACCAGACACCGTATGGGACCAACACCATGGGGTAGCATGCTAAAACTCCACCTATAACACCAGCAACCCACATGGGTGCCAGTGGAATGCCCATATGCTGCAGTTCCAATCAAGCTCCCTGCTAATGTGCTGGGAATGTAACAGAGGAGAGTCCAAGTCTGTGGACCCTGAACCTAAGTGGGAGATCTAGATCCTGGCCCCCAGATCCAAGCTGGCCTAGCTCCAGCCATTGCAGCCATTTGAGGAATAAACCAGTAAATGAAATAAACCAGTCTCTCTTTCTTCCCTTCCTCGTTATCTCCCTCCTTCCCTCCATTTCTCCCCTCTCTCTCTTTCAAAGAAATATATATAAATCTTGAAAAAAAAAACAGGCATTATGATATGAGATATAGATGTCTCAGCCAGCATCTTAACTGTTGGGCCATATGTCCACCCCCACAGCTGCCATTTAATGCACACTAATACAAGTTAGACAACTGAGTAAGAAAAGCACCTTACAAAGGAAGAATTATGCCTATTTTGTTGGTTCTGCACTTTCCAAAGCCAACATGTTATGAAAGATATTACTTGTCTGCTTTCATTATGCAAGCAAAAAGAATTCCACTATGAGAACAATAAAAAGCAAACAAGTTTATATATACTAAGTCAGATCAACAGTTCAGTTAGTAAATTAAGAGAAAATAAGTTATCAATTACATAACTTTAAGCACACCCATTTAAAAAATATTGTATGAAGGAAATTCACAAAAGAAAATCACAATAACAAATATATGATGAATATATACAATCCAGTCTAATGAATATATGCAAATACTCTGACTCAAACATAGATAAATTAAAACTGCAGAATTATGTTTGTAAATCTGTGGAATTGTTGAAATCAACAAAGACTGCAAAGACAGAACACCCTGACTATGTAATGGCGTGGGATTGATATATTGTTGATATAGTGGTGAACATAGCTATCTTCCAAGCAGTTGACCCAGGTTTGATTCCTGACAACACACCAAATGTTGCATCCACTTGCCCACTAAAACAGAATGCTACATTCACCAGTTTTATTATAAATGAGAGGCAAGGCAACTGACTAACCTGCCAGGTGGGACCAACCCCCCTTAGCAGAGTGTGGCCCCAAACAGCACATTCCATGGTTTCTATTGGGCAGTCCACAATAGCTTCAAAAGGGGCAACCCACAATAGACTGTGAGGTGAGGGGGTAATACCACACATTCCCTACCTATCTCGGCTGGACAGCCCATGCTGGGCTCTTCTCCAGTCCAGCAATTAAAGTAACCACCTACTTAATCACTCGGAGCCACTGTGAGATAACCAGATTTGGGCTTTGGAGCCATCTGTGAGATAACCAGACTTGGTCCTTGATTCATGAGAATTGGGTCGGTAGGTGCTAAAGGTCACATAGGCTGTTTGGCCTGCAAGTTCACAGTTTCTTGGTAGCAGTGAGCCACGTTTACTTCATTTTTTTTTCAACTCTGCTTTATCGTGGGGGCAAGTCTGAAGAGTCAACAACCCTTGGGAAGAAACCTGGCTTACCAAAAATCATAATTTATATATCCTTGGAGAAACCAGGGGATGTGCCCAAAGGCTTAACATTCCTTGAGCCCATGGTACTGCTGTTTGTAATACATGAAAACTGGAAAACAGGGTAGACCTGTTAAAATTAGTTACAACAAACCTGTATGGTCATTCAGTCAGTGGAGAGCAAACTGCAGGAGAGCAAGGATCCACCTCACACTCTGGTTACTGTGTGGTGGGCAAGAAAATGCAGCTGGTTTCCCAGACAGCTCAATAATCTATAAGTAGGGGGCAAGAACCTCTTCTCCACCAAGGACCATCATTTGCACATGTTTAACAATATTTGGGACCCATATAAAACTATGAACCTGCAAATTAGCCTG